GATCTTTAGCCTCCAGAATTGAAAGAAAATGGCATTTCGGAAAAATCGCCCGAAACCTTTGATGGTACCCCTTTGAAATATGCCAAAATGTGATCGAGAATATATCCGCCCAAATCGGTGCTCAATGGACTTAATCATCGTTGAAGATTAGCCTCAGGCCGAATCAGTGATCTGTAGCATTCAATATCCAAAGTAAATGGCCTTTCATCACCCAAAAAATTACAAAAATGCCATCCCAAAATAAATTGGCCCAAGTCGGTGCTTAATGGGCTTAACATACGTGGAGAATAGGATCAATATACTTCATTATCGGTGGAGAATAGCATCGGCCTGATTCCGTGATCTACAGCCTCCAGAATCGAAAGAAGATGGCATATCGGAAAAATCGTCTGAAATCTTTGATGGGCAACCTTCGTCAAGCCGATCCCACTTCCTCAAGGACCTAAACATCAATTATTTGCTATGAAGCAAGAGTCAGCCAGAAAAAATGTGGAGAGAGCATTTACGGTGCTCTAATCACGATTTGCTATCGTTAGTAATACGTCATGAATACGGTGTGCAAGAAGACAATTGGAAAAATAATGAGAGTATGTATACTCATGCATAGCATGATTGTGCAAGATGCCATTTTGATTACAATGACGATGGAGTGAATTTGAGCGTATCGATGCCAATAATTTCTCCTAACCCGGCTTCCAGAGTATGAAGAGTATCTCTGGAATTATTCAAGAATACATGATAGATAAAAAAAAACCACCAACTTCAAGCAGATTTAGCTGAAGAAATTTGGAATAGGTTTGGAGGACAGGAAGATGACAAGTAATCTAGTATTTTTTTTATTTCTTTCTATAATTTTTATCATTTTAATATCCGTTATGCCTTGATGAGTGTGTTATATATGTATTTGGGCTTGTTGTATATTCAATATAATTTTCAAGGTATGATAAATATTAGTGTGTCTACATCTTATCTTAAAATAGGCAAATTTTTTAATTTCATATTTATTATACGATACTTGTTTCAATTAATTATTAATTATATAAATATTCATATATTATAATCAGATTATAATTTACTAAACCCTTATTTTTGCATAAACGGAATATTTCCAAATACATTATCTATTATTAATTATACAAAATTATTATTAAAAAAAAAGTGATAAATGATATGGATATATTGTAGGTCTCATCAATAAAAATTGCTAAAGAATTGGAGAGATAGAAATGGTTGGAAATTGCTAGATCTAATAACGGTTAAAGTTGCTGATCTGGCTGTGGGAACCAATTTGAAAATTGTTAAAATTAATTCTGGGATGGAGATGGCCTTATAACCATTAGTGATCCTTTTGTAGTGAATGACTAGCGATCGACTCAAACTCTAGTGCTCCTAATAAAGTAATTACTAATTAATTTAACAATTTGAAAATTGTTAAATTAATTCTTGGATGGAGATGGCCTTATAACCATTAGAATAATGTCCAGATAGCCATCCATAACACGGAAAGACTTCAGCACCCCACCCGTTGTGACCCTTTTGTATTGAATGACTAGTGATCGACTCAAACTCTAATGCTCCTAATAAAGTAATTAATCATAAACTCTAATGACTAGCCATCCATATACTATTACCTGCTGCGCCTGCCCTAGTTTTCTACCCGATTCCGAAAATCGCTAAGAGAAAGAGGCCAACGAACCATGAAAGTAGCACCAGCCGACGACGGTGTGATCGCCGGCGGCTTCGACCCAGAAGCAGGGACGACGACGACGCCCCCTCTCCCCACATGGTTCAAAGTAGTCTTCTTCTGCATATTGTTGTACTTCGCAGGATTGATGACCCTTTTCGCACTCTTTGTGAGACAGAACATTAGAGATCACGACAAGTTCTGTTCGACGCCGGGAGTCATGCTCGCTTCCTCATTCATCACCGCCGGCGGCGGCGGCGGCAACCACTCGGCCGACAGCGGGGTCCTGCAGCTCGCCGTCGACGTGGAGTTCCCATCCTGCGAGGAGGAGGACGCCGACGGAGTCCACTACGATGCCTTCGAGGCCTCCGTCGTGGCCGGCGGCGGTCAGCAGCAGCAGATCGCCGTCGCTCGGTTGCCGCCGTTTTATGCAAACAGCCACTCCATATTTAACCTGCGCCTCCATCCGAATGTCTCGGGGTCCGTGCAGGATGACGTCATGATGAGGTCCTCCGGGGATTTCGGGTTCCAGCTACTCGCTTCGTTTCGGCGGCTGAATAAGAAAGGGAAGGATGAGGGACACAAGGGGTCGATTCGGGCTGCTTGTCATCCGGTTACGATCGGGGATTCCCCGCCGGCGGCCGGACCTCTCGCCGGGAACTTGGATTGCGATGTGGAATTACTATGAAAAGATCGAGTGGATTATTCGATTAATAGGCTATCAGTTGTTATTGTAGGCCTTCTGTTTAATTATTTTTTTCCTTTCGGTTTGGTTTTGGGATTATTGGGTTCGGTTTGTGTATTTTGAAACTAGCTTTTTCTCCGTATCAAGGAACCCACGTAAACATGTCTGCTCCGTTTTGTACTTTCCGTTTCAGTCTATTCCTACGTTTTGATTATCATGGTATCAGAACTTTCGACTATGGAATCTGAACACCTGTCTGAATTCGAAGAACTTTACGATTTGGGAATTTCAATTCCATACGTTTGTTGAAGGTCGGGGTCACGTTGACTATTTCGATTGATTCGTCAAATCAAGGGTGAGCAACGAAAAATGGATATTTGAGTATACTCGTATCCGTCTTTTTTTTATGGTTATCTTGGTTGTCATGTTAATTAGGTCGATTTAGTAATTGCAAATGATGAAGGGTGAGAATTCGGTGTAGGTGTGTAATTGGTTTTTATTCATTTTGTAAGAGGTGGGTAGTCGCCGTTAAATAGAGGATCAGCTGCTGCTTCCAGAAATTGGAAGAGATGAAGAAAATATATAAGTGGAGTGGCTTGTAACTGCTTCCATAAATTGGAAGAGAGCAATGAAGAGTTCTTGTAACAAAGCATCTGAGGTAGAGTAAAAAGTGCCAGATGTTCAATAAAGAGTTTATATGACATCTACACATGTATTCAAAGATAAAATAACCGGTATGAACTATCATTACAAAGTAAGGATAACAGATGGACGCAACTAACGAACGGTTTACGATAAGGAAAAAAATAAAACAAAACGAATTACTAACTCAAAGTTCATTGAAATGAAAATGAATGTTAATATTGGATACTTGGACAAGGAAGATCTCAGCTTGACCAGAAGCACGATAGAACTGCTTGATAACATCTTCATTCTGCAGTAGCAACACGACAAACCATCAGCAGTAGCATAACCAACTTAAACGTGAAATAGCAAATTAAACAACATTAACCATACCCCAAAGTCAGAGTTCCTCATCTGCTTGATAACATCGTCATTCTCTAATAACACAACATTTTGCTAATTAAGATAATGCTGTTAATTAATTAAAAATCGGAAATAATATATTGATGGCTACATACCTTGATTAACCACTTGAGGATCAAAAATTATCGTTCAATTTTACAATGAATTCGGTGTGTTTGAATTACTTTAATTTCCTTCAATATCTCATATTTTTTCTTTGTGCCAAATGGATTAGTTATGCTATAGAGGGGATACAATCTAATACTTTTCAAGCTCACCGAATTTGAAGGCCTAGTTGGTTTATTATTCTCGATAATCTAAGAAGAAAAATATTGAGAAATAAACAAATAACAAGCCAACTAGATGACATTTTTTGCCACTAAATTAACAAGCCAAGTTATTTTGAGCGCTTTCTCATGCAAATATTATGGGGACGATACTTACTCTTGTAGTAGCAATGTATCATGCATCAATCGTGATATGATCAAGTTGTGTTTTATTCATGAGTTAGCAATTGGATCATGCACTACACTACTACTCACCATTTGAATATATTTGCATGAGTTAGTGGCGACAGATCCGGAGCGAGCTCTTGTTATCGGTTTCATGAGTTAGCGACGAAATATCTATAGTCGAGCTCTTGTTATCGATCACCATGGAGATTAAGGATTGTTTGTTTGATGGATTTGGTGATTGGTTTAGATCAATCAAGTATTTAGGGGGCAACAAATTCGCGGACCCACGGAGTTTGAAGGTCCAAATTCATGGGCCCTACAAACTTGAAAATCCAACCCCTTTGAGTGAGAATTGATCATGGACTTCAAAGTCCATGATTTATGACCAATCTACCCCTCCCATTTTCTTTTTCTCTCATACCAATAAGGACAATAAAGGTTTGCACTTCATGCATACAAATCTTCAAAATCCAGTATGAAATCTATGAAACAATGGAATTTTTGAAGTCCATTATGAAACCAAAACCTTTACATAACCATGGTTTTAAAACCCTAGACATATCAAAACCTTCATTTTCCGTCGGCTAGTGCTAACGAACTTCCTGTATGTGGGCTTCTCTTGTGGTTTTCGCATGAATTGTTGCCTGGTTGGAATTTCATCCACATCCCTTTCTGGCTCCGCTTTTGAATCTATTTTGCGAGCGTTTTTTTATCTTTCTATCGGTTCTATTACTTCATTACGTTGAGCGCGTTAAAGTTGGAGCTCCCGTGAATGTAACGCTCAAATCTACATCATGAATCAAATCATTTTTCATTTTCATATAAATTAATTTGTTTCCGAAGTTTATTACGATTGTAAAATGCAAACCTATCTTTTCGCTAATAAGCGGAGAGTATGCAACAAAAAATTAATGGTAGGGGCTTGTCACATTGCGATCTGATTTAGGCTTCTACTCATCAAAGTGGTTGACTAAATGAAATATCATGAAATTTGTGTAAATCAACACTAACTACATGACATTCTTTATGATAAAAAAAAGTCAGGAGCAATGAAAAATTACAGTCCAATACCAAAAGATTTCGCTAATGCAGGGATATTACTGCCATTATGGTATGCTATTTGTAAATGAAAAATTGATAATTGTTGTTACTCATACATCACTGCTAAATCAATCATCCATTCCAAATTCAAGTACTTGTCCCAGTCATATGGTAAAAGTAAAACTGATAATGCATGGGCATGGAGTTACAGAATTACAAATATTATCCCTCTTCTATCTTCTATGTTACATTCAACTGTTTTTATCACAAATAATAAACTTGTATAACAGTAAAAATAAACTGGTAAGAGGTAATCAAATTTACATGGGTAGGTTTTCACCCCCTCTTTATTTCATCACTATACTTCACCTTTTGTTTCCCCTAATGCAAGTCACTTACAAATCAAGCTGCGGTTAAATTCGCTAATCCCTCCACACCTCATGAGTAGTTAATTAGATCTCTGTACCTCATGGAGTTGTTAGATTGGTTGATTTTTACCAAACGAATTCCTTCCTTCCTTCCGTCCTTCTTTATGTTGGGTAAGCGAAGCCAGCAGCTACTTGCTCGTTGTCAGGGTCTCCGAAAAGGGTATTCAGATACATAGCTAATCGAACTCCACCTTGCGCGATACGTTTCATCACGATTGGCATTCTCGACTCGAAGTACTCATCTGCAAAGGTGGAAATTGTCGATCCAGATCGGCTGACTTGGTTCTGATAAGAGTTTGATCCAAGAATTGGAAACAAAGTTTTTTTTACCTGATAGAGTTTGACCTTCCTTGACGCCTTTGTAGCCCCATTTGCAAGCTATGGTTATGCTCTCCACTGCATATCTACAGACGCCAAACGTAAAGAGACACCCGAAGTTACTACGCGCCGATGAATGAAATTTCCTCTATATGATTGAAGAGAGGAGGGAGAAAATCATTACTTGTCAGGACATTCCAGCAGATCGTCGCAATCTCTCCACGACAGCAGATCGTCATGCCATAAACCCTGCCATTTTCCAAAACGTAACACGACCCCTCATCTTACTTACAGCACAAGAAACCAAAAAGAAAGGCGAACAAAATTAACAATTCAAAAGTGGAGTGTTGATTTACGCACGTCGGTGAAGTTTCCTTCGATTGCTTGCTGGAGGAGGTCGACGTCTTTGTCGTAGTAATCCTTGAGAGCTTGAAGGATGATCTCCCTATCCCATACCTGCCACCATCAACGTAACGGACTCATTTAGCACCGATCGACCAATCGATAAAAGGTATTATTATTAATCTGTTTAAAACGAGTTGGAGGTGGGAAAGAAAATGTGATTTGAGATCCTGACATGGTGGAGATTGGATTTGTGGCGGAACCAGCGCAGGTCTATGGTGTTGCCGCCTTCGTCAGAAGTGAAGCCAACATGAAGAGGCTGGTGAATATCACCCATGAAGTGCGACAAGAAGAGCAACGCTTCTGTCAAGTTGTCTGCGAGATTAACGAATTTTAATGAGTGATTGTAGTAATTCATTAGGCTAACAGATCAATTAACATGTGAGATTATAGCAGCCTCGTAATGCTTACATCGTCGATCCGTGCTGCCTTCTTTGTAGTGTGAGAGCTGAGAGGTGAAGTTCTGAATCGCACCCGCTACGCAACGATCCTTAACGCAGTCCCCTGAAGTGCAAATAATTTATTCAATACATTCCAAACTGATTAAATGTACGAGAGAAAGTTGGTTCGATCAAGCTTTGTTGAAGTTGATTACTTGAATGGTCGAAGGTGCAGGAATCGTCAGGGGTGTCGATGAAGTGAAGTGGGCTGGTCCACCTGTATCTATACCAATGCCGGATTTGGTCCGGCCAGACGCAAAGCGCTGACAAGTCGCCGTTCACAGTTTCAGGCAACAGTTGTGCCACGGCGTGTGCTGCTTCCGGCTTTAACAGATTCTGTAACATGTATAGATTTACAACAAAAGTCTTTGCTTTAGGTAGAGGCTTGTTAGTTGTGGCGTGTCAAATTGTCAAAAATAGAAAAATTGGTTGCGGGTGCACAACACTTTCAACAATTCATCATGCTTTTGGTAAACAAGAAATGATGTAAAAGGCAAGAGAGAAACTCCTCGCTTAAGGCTGCAGATACTGGGGAGGCGAGGAAACCGGTTTTTAACCAGATCCAGACCCGATCAGCACAAACTGGTTTGCAGTGATCCATGACCCAAAATGATCAAAACTGCTCGACCCATGATTCAGTATGACCCAACCAACCCATTGACGCGATTCAAACTAGACCTGTTTATAAATTTGTAACACTTGTGACACTACGACCACCCATCCATTACGACCCGACAATTCATTCGGACCTGAATGACAGACATATGACTAACTGGAAGGAAGACAGAAAGGAAAGAAGATCCCAACTGGTAATGAAAGAGTTCGAGTGAAAGCATAAGCATTACCATACAATTCGAAACAAAGGTGGATGCATGGCGGAATAATGCAAAAAGGAAAGAAAAGGAACACGATCAACGTACCTGTGCAATTCGACATGTTATCATGTGCCCTTCCTTGCTCCAGCTCACAGCTCCAGGCACCAAGATCACGGCCAGAGCTATGAACAGAAATAAACCAAATGGCTGCATTTCTCTTCAAGGGTTTTTTTTTCTTCTGTCCTTTCTCAAGTTACCAGGTGGCCAAATGCTGCCCTGCCACACAGCAACTAAGAAAATACAAAAAGAAGAAAGGCAAACGAAAATTTCAGTTACATATATGCACAAGCAGTTATATACAATAAGGGTACAGCAATGAACATGTGATGACAGTCAATATGTCCTATTAATAAAACGGTTATCATTGAGTACAAGATTCAACTTCCCCTTATCTTGAGTGTCCTTAAAGTTTTACATTCATCCTAAGCAATACAACAGGACAGAGTATATTCTACAGGAATTTTTCATTCCATGTGAGAGTTTGAGATAGTTAGTCAATAGATAGTAGCTAAGGGCTCACTAATTAGCCTGCCTAACCTATGAGAGGCGCCCAATAATGCTGAAGCTACAGATCATACTGCATATGTTTGCTTATTCTCTGAAATCTGAACTAAAATTACCTAACACCTGTCATCTAATATGGACTCTCATCGTAGCTTCCTTTCTTATCCCATGATGGGCTTTATCTTCGTGACTCAGCAATTTGTACTTTGGAAGCAAAGATGCCGTTGAGGGTAGCAGCCAAACGGACACCAGCTTGGGCCAGCCGTCCTTACACAATAGGCGGCCGAGAAAGGAAGTACTCATCTGTATAACGCATAAAAAGGAGGAGAACTACACAATGATAGAAGCAGATTGCCAGCTCAAGTAGTGAGCGAGGTGTTGGTCAAAGAACAAGATATCGTGTGGAAAAATATGCATTTTGCAAAACATGAATATCTCAGATCAGCATGCCTCCACGTCTAACTTGGCAGCTTCAAAAATATTTTGGGATTTAGTTGTTTCATCTGCACGGTCAACAATAGTTAATTGAGGAGTTACCAGTCAAGCTGCTTCCTGGTGCAGCATTCTGGTTAGCATACTTGCACGCCAAACTGATACTTTCAGAAGCAAACCTGCATAGTTCAAAGAAGAAACCATAATCACCGATGTCTGATCTTCTAAGAGATGCATGAATTCAGTTCTTTAACGCATGTGCATTTAACATGACAGTGCATCTAATGAAGGTCCCAATGAAAAATTCAAGTGAAAACTAATTCATGCTGAAGACTTAGATCTTAGATAAGTAGAGAGCGACACATATGCCTTAACTAGATTCTCCAGTGCCTTATCAATGCATTTTCTCACCTCTGAATAATAAGCTAGCCAGTTATGTATGTTGTGAATGTTTTTATACATCTTGACCAATTTCTAGATGTTTAAACATCTGATGCAGATAACAAAAGCTATGAGTGCTACTAGATATAGAATCACATACACATTTGGACAGAATGTTTGATTCCCCTCACAGTCTCCCCACGATGGCAATTGATTGTCCTGTTGAGATTATGAGATACGAGACATCGATATCAGGAAATCAAACGCAGGTGCAAAGACAATTAGATACTACTATGCCATTACAGTTAGTGTTACGTAAACCTACCATTATATTACTCGGAATCGAATCAATCATGGTTGTGAGATCTAAATTATAAAATGCGTCCATGGTGGATTCAATAATGCTCGTATACAACACCCGAGAGACAATCATAGCATGGTAATCAGTTTTGAAATTGCCAAGAACAGAAGTTTAAATCTTTGTGACAGACCATCTGGATACATCAGCAGAAGAAGCTTACATGATGTAGATTAGCCGTTCTAGTATACCATTGAACTATGATTGTGTTTCCTCCCAAACCTCCCAGAAAACCATGTAGGGGCTGGAAAAAAACCCGGAAGAAGTCACTGATACAATCCATGATAAACACGAACTAAATAAGTACACAACATTGTCATCACAGCATAGGAACTCCTATTCTTCAGCGAAAAATGAGAGAATAAAGCACCGCATAGGCATAGATAGAGAGCACGAACCTGATGAACGTCCCCAACAAAATGTGACAAGAACAGCAGTGCCTCCGTTAGATTGTCTGCAACAAATCACCAAATCTAGCCCAGAACAAAATCACTTTAACAACACTAAAAGGGCAAAGCATATATCATGGTATCACACACTAGAGGAGCCAAATAACTGCTCACAGTTAGTCATGACAAACTCCTGCAACAAAGGAACGGTTGTGTGGTAAAGTAATTAAGCAATGGCGTTTTCCGTCTCTTCAAAATTCAAATACCAGATTCCATCAATGGAATAAACTTAACGGGAAATTTTGTAGTTGCAGAGGAATTCCGGTGTATCGACGTAGTGGAGAGCGCTACTACAGTGATAGCGAAAATTCATGGTGTCCGCCCAAGAGCAAAGACTCGCCAGATCGCCCTCGGCGTACTCCGGAAGTAGTTCTTTCACCTCCGTCATCATCGCGTCTTCGTTCAGATACGCCTGAAATCGGAGAGAGAGCACAGATTACGATCGCTGCCTCAAATCTCAATCAGATCAATCGCAACAAGAGCCGAGAGTTAGTGCTACACTGCTACTCGCCAGTCGCCTCAGCGATTTTGCAAACAGCGTAGTGAGTAGTGACCTTCCTTTCCCAAGCCGAGAACTCCGGTTACGAACTGGAGAAGGAGAAGAGCTCTCCATATCCACAGCAGCGGAGAGCTACTCATTGCTAATACAGTTGAGCTGCCTCCTCGATTTGATGAAGTTCATATGCAAGTGTTGACAGAAATTTGAGACGAAGAAAGGGAAGAGAAAGCAGGAGTGGAAACCGATTCTTAGTTTCTTACCGACAGAAGCAGTTGCAGGTTTTTTCTGGCGGCGGATTTCCGGCGAGCTGGGCTGAGAGAGATTTCGGAGGAGGCTGCAATGGCGGGAGGAGGAGGGGTATGTAATGTAACTCGCACTCTCGCAGTTCAGGCGCTCACACTGCGCGACCGATGAAGAAGGTTTCCCGGCTTGCTTAAACGACGTCGTGGTGGTGGAAATATGCGCGGTAATTAATTTATTTTTAATTAAATTATCCTTTTCAAAAAGAAAAAAAATGAAAAACTAATATCGTTGTTGTATATCCTCTCCAGTCTCCTCTCACAAACCTGCCACTGTTCAGAGCTCCAGAGTAAGTCAAAAAAGTGAACGGAGAGCTCGAAAATGAAAGCGGTGGTGATCACATCTCCCGGCGGGCCGGACGTCCTGCAACTCCAGCAAGTCAACGATCCACAGATCAAAGACGACGAAGTTCTGATCAAGGTCGCCGCCACCGCCGTCAACCGCGCCGATACCAACCAGCGCCAGGGCAAGTATCCGCCTCCCAAGGGCGCTAGCGAGCACCTCGGCCTCGAATGTTCCGGCACTATCGAAGCCGTCGGGAGCCGCGTTTCCCGATGGAAAATCGGCGATCAGGTGTGCGCCCTCCTCAGCGGCGGAGGCTACGCGGAGAAAGTGGCGGTTCCGGCGGCGCAAGTTTTCCCCGTACCGGATGGCATCTCTCTGACCGACGCTGCCGCTTTCCCTGAGGTCGCGTGTACTGTCTGGTCAACGATCTTCATGACTAGTCGGCTCTCCCCCGGCGAATCGCTTCTGGTAAATGTTTAGCTTCTAGTTCTCTTTCTCTCTTTCGCCGGACGGGGAAGAGGAATTAGCGAAACGTTTTGTTGGAATTGTTTACAGGTTCATGGCGGGTCGAGCGGGATTGGGACGTTTGCGATTCAGATAGCGAAACATCTAGGGATTCGAGTTTTGATCACTGCAGGTATGTTTGCCACTTCCAGTTCCAATTCCATTTCCAGTTTTCAATTCAATTTGCAGCTGAAAACCCTAGAGCGCGCTTGGAAATCCATTCTCATTTCTATAGAGTTCTACTCCGAATTTCGAATTGATTGTGTTTGTAGCAAGCTCTATGAGATTTGACGGCCAAATGGAACTAAAATTCTCAAATTGGCTACAAACGTCACAACTAGCAGAAAGAGGTTTAGAAAGGGGGACAGGAGTTAACTTTTGCTAACTTGCCATTTCCCCAAATCCGTAGGGAGTGAGGAGAAGCTAGCGGCGTGCAGAGATCTCGGAGCTGATGTTTGCATCAACTACAAGTCTGAGGATTTCGTGGCCCGAGTGAAGGAAGAAACTGATGGAAAAGGTATATACTTTGTGCTTGTTGACATAACCTTTTTAAGTAGATGAATGAGCAGCCTTGTATTCTTGATTTTGCAAAATGCTGACTACTTATTGTGTGGCAGGAGTTGATGTCATTCTGGATTGCCTTGGGGCATCCTACTTCCAGCGAAACCTCGACAGCTTGAATTTCGACGGCAGGCTGTTTATCATCGGATTGATGGGTGGAGCTAAGGCGGAGATGAACCTGCCTACTCTGTTTGCGAAGCGCCTCACAGTGCAAGGTATGACAGCATTGACATTGGTTTCGAATTTGCTTAACTTTCTCAGTGCGAGATCTGAGTTGGTATATATGCGTCTGGTTCTGGTTCTGGTGTGTTTCTTTTACAGCGGCTGGTTTGAGATACAGAACTCCGGAGAACAAAGCTGCCATTGTAAAAGAGGTGGAGAAGAATGTGTGGCCGGCAATTGCAGCCGGGAAAGTTAAGCCTATTGTGTCCAAGGTCTTCCCGTTCTCTGTGGCAGCCGAGGCTCATAAGCTGATTGAGAGTAGCCAGCATATCGGCAAGATCCTCCTTGTTCCGTCCTAATGCCTTCTGTTTCCATAGGAATGAATTGAGCATGCTGGCGGGATTTGTGCAAACGGATGCTTCGTCGTTGCGAGGTCCAGTTGGTGCAGCAGTACTGTGTTTCGTCGTTCCAGTTCGCTGATGTAGAAGATTGTACACACTTAATATTGTTGAAAATACGTGATCCAAAACTCTGTTTCAATTCCAGGAGCTTGTTCCTTCACTTGCAGTTTTGGAGTTATGCACACCAAGCGTTTGATTATTTGCCCGTCATAGCTTTCAAATGAATTCCGAATCATATCGACCCAATATATGATTATGCTGGCTTAAAAAGATGACATGGATAATAGTGGTTGAATTTACTAAACAAGTTGTCGCTCACATATGTGTCAATTTGGTATCCTAGTCGGATATGAACTAAATATAAGAATTCACTCGAATACGAACCAAATATGCATAGTTGCACACGTCGAATAATTTAGCATTTTTCTTTTTTCTTCAATAACATGAAAATAAAAAGATAATTTGCGGAAATTGATCAAACAATTCCGAACCTGTTGAAAGGACCAATCAATATAGTCGATACTCGCCGTAACTAGATGCGATTTCTAGTTGATAAGAGACATCTGCTCCTCTTTTGGACCTCGTTGACAGAAGACTCACACAACTTGTTTACAATTGAACTCGAAAACTCTCAATTTGATTAATGAAATTTGATGAAATTTACATAGAACTTGGCCTCCTTAAATAGGCAACGAAAATCAAATTGAAGATTAAGAAAGATAGCTAAAATTCTTAAGTAACAAGTAAACAAAGTCATGGAAAAAAGGAAACAAACTTGACTTTTTCAACCCTTCTATCCTTAAAATCCGCCCATTATGTTCACACTTGATATTTCATTGGCACCTTTTATTCTCTTTGGAACATCCACATTGGTATTGCATTCTCAATTGCAAAATGACATGACATGGGTGTTTGCAATTGCAAACCCCAATTGCATTGATGTGACTACCAATTGCATATTTGCAAGCTTGCAATAAATGCAATTGCAAGTAAAAAAGACTAAAAAATGGAGATTTTTTTATTTTAGTTTATTTTTTATATTCTCTTTTACTTTATTTTATATAATTTAAACATAATATTTAATTGCATATGCAATTACAAGTTAATTGCATTGATGTGGATGCTCTCACAGTTATGTAGTTATGTTCACACCTTGCTTTAACACCTTACGTTCACACCATATGGACTCCTAGGCCGAATACCCTTCTTTCAAGCCCATCTTCACACGGTCTTGGTCCATGGATTGTAACAACGTTTCCATCAAGAATGATCTCATTTGTCTTTGTATCGTCGATTCCAAATATTCATTTTTGGACCACATGAATTATATAATATGCCAATCGATTTGGCATCAAATAAGCCTTCCTTGTAGAGCATTTTTCACCTACCTTAAATGCTCCCAATCTCTCTTTGAACCTTTTAAGTCATCTCTTACCCCACAGTCCACGTAGAGATATAATTTGTGCTTGAATAACGTCACGAGGAGTGAGCGGAGTCGCATCGATTTAATTGGCAGGATCTCTAACATTGTTGAAGTTTGTAACAGAAATGAGTAGATTTGTCAAACAACCAAAAACTTATGGCTATCTTGTATACTTCGAACGTTGTGTATATGAAAGTGTAATTTGCCATCATTAAAGACAACTAGCGTCTTCCCTCCGGCGGGAGTGGCTCGCTCCGTCCTTCGATTTCAGGGTAATTTGATCGCCGAGTCACTTCGCTGGAGATACATCTGAAGAATTAGGGTTCTTCCTAGTTTCACCGAGTTCGTAAGTTTTAGCTCGATGATCCCATTCTCTCGGAGAATATGGCGGGTAAGAAGACGGGTAAGATTCCGGTGGGAATCTCTCCATCGCCAGCTTCTAAAGCTTTGGCATGCCTTCCGGCCATGTAAGTACTTACAATTGGTAATGAAGTATGTGGTTAGCGAAAGAAGCAGACGATTGCGATTTCGGAGAATATTGATATTTCGAATGGCTACCCCACGGTTTGCTTAACGAGATTATCTTGAATCCCAATTAGTCAAACAACGAAAAGGAAATGAATGGCCACCTCAATGTTGGGCGTGGATTTGACGTTTTGTCGCCATTGAAGCTGAAGCTCGACGTGGCTTTTCAACCTTCGTCTATATCCTACGGGGAAAGGGGGGAAAAAGAAGAAATTTCGTTAGAAGAGTCTGAAGAGCCCTATTACATTTCAACGTCTCCTATTTATGGAGACTAAATACCATGGCAGCCGGTTGGTGCAGATATTTCATCCTGCTGTGTTTACTGCTGTTGTGGACTTTCCTTATGCCATCAATTTTGCTTTGCTGGGGAGGATGAGAAATGGTGCTAGAGCTAAAATTTTCAAGGGGGCTTCAAGGCTTGCTCTGTTTCTTCTTTTCCAAGGTACAAGCTTTGCTCTCAATGACACTATACATGCTAATGGGTCACTCAAGGATGGAAGCTTGGTCATCTCCAAAGGGGGTAAGTTCGCTTTAGGGTTCTTCAGCCCTGGTCGATCCAGCAACAGATATCTGGGGATTTGGTATCACAACAAGCCAGGACAAGCTCCTGTGTGGGTAGCAAACAGGAACAATCCCATCAATGGCACTTCAGGAGTTCTATCAAGCGATGGATATGGCAACCTTTCTCTCTACAGCAGCTTAGATCAAGAGTTACCAGTATGGTCTGCAAATGTTTCGAGGGAAAAATTTGCAGAAGGGCCATGTTTAGCTCGGTTGTTAGATTCAGGAAATTTAGTATTGGTCCAGGGTATAATTAACAGAATGATTGTGTGGCAAAGCTTTAATCATCCTACTCACACCTTGTTACCTGGCATGAAACTAGGTCTGGATAAGGAAACTGGTTTAAACCGCTTCATCACTTCATGGAGGTCACCAGATGACCCTGGAATAGGTGATTTCTCATTTAAGCTTAACCCAAATGGCGTGCCACAGCTCTTTCTGTATCGTGGTACAACCCCCCATTGGCGGAGCATCCCATCAGCCTGGCGCATACACCATGAGTTATATGAAGAATTATTTGAAATTAATGAACGTGAGATACGTTTCTCGTTTCACTCTCGTGATCCTTCTATTGTAATGATTCCTACTATGGACAACTCGGGAACGATGGGGGCGGCGATGTGGGACGAAGTTGATGGCCAGTGGAAAGAGTTCTATTCAGTAACCCATAAAAAATGTGATGTCTATGGTTACTGTGGTGCTTATGGAAAGTGTGAACCAAGCAGCCCTTTTCTTTCTGAATGTGTTTGTTTACCTGGTTATGAACTAAAGTCTCCAAGCAAGTTTCTTCTAGGAAATGCATTCGGTGGGTGTGTCAGGAAGCGGTCAGAATCCTCATCTTTTTGTGCGCCCGGAGAAGGGTTTGTGAGAGTTGCAAATGTGAAGGCTCCTGATACTTCAGCAGCCGTGTGGGTGGACATGGGATTAAATGAAGTGAACTGTGAGCAAGAATGTAGAAAGAATTGCTCCTGCTGTGCATATGCTACCACTAAAATTGATGGCAAAGGGACTGGTTGTTTGACATGGCATGGAGAACTAATGGATACAGTAAGCATGCCCGGCCTTGATCTTGCAATCTATGTTCGTGTCGATGCTCGTGAACTAGGTAATCAAATCTGGAGGTGTTCGATTTTCATAGACAAGCTTGCTTCTTCGTGTCTTCCCCTGCTCTCTTTTTTACATCTACTGATGTTGTATGTTCTTTTTGATCAGCTGACTATGCACTGCAATCTAGTGGCTTTCGTGAACTTAAGTTGAAGTTAGTTGTTCTCATACCATCTTTTGCTTCTGTTTGGCTTGTCGGCATCTTGCTTGCCTATTGGTGGCTCAAGAGGCTAAAGAAGCGGAGGAAGAGCAAAGGTATCCGTTTAAGTTGTGTTCTTACTTCTTGCGCTCCGATGACTAATAATCATCCTTGCTTTTATTATCCAAGGACAGCAAACGAGAGGCGGATCAGAAACTTATTTGATCCGGGTGAAGATGGGTCAAACTACTTCCAAGATTCTTTGCCGACCAAGGAGATCGAGCGGAGTAAAATTTATCCAGAACTACCCTTCTTCAACCTTAGCACGATACGAGCTGCTACCAACAATTTTTCCCCTGACAACAAACTTGGACAAGGGGGTTTTGGTTCAGTGTACAAGGTGGTGTCTCCACATAGTGTTTGCAATATCTGAAAGACGGAAATATGACACTTTCCTGAACTTAAATGGTCCCCTTTGCAATTTCAGGGCAAATTTTCTTCCGGAGTAGAGGTTGCTGTAAAAAGATCACCAAACAATTCCAGGCAGGGGCTGGAACAGTTTAAAAGCGAAGTCTTTCTTATTGCAAAACTGCAACACAGGAACCTTGTGAAGCTCCATGGTTGCTGCATTGAGGAACAAGAGCAGATGTTGGTTTATGAGTACTTGCCCTACAATAGTTTGGACTCAATTCTTTTCGGTAAGTCATCGTGGTAATGAATAGCCAAAAGGAAAGTTGAACGAATCCTGATTTTTGCTTTCTGCATCTTTAGTTGATCAGACAGGAAGCCCATTCTTAGACTGGTGTAAACGGTTCAATATCATACTCGGGGTTGCACGTGGGATCTTATATCTTCATCAGGACTCAAGGTGCAGAATAATCCACAGAGACCTGAAAACCAGCAACATTCTTCTTGATGCAGAGCTGAACCCCAAAATTTCCGATTTTGGAATGGCTAGAGTATTGGAAGGTGACCAAGTTGAAGGGAAGACAAGTAGAATTGGCGGAACCTAGTATGTCTTGTGTTTTTCTATAACAAGTTATCTTGTTATGTAGGTACCACTGTGAAATGTGAACTTAAGATTTTGCTTATTTTCATGTTCCCCCTTCTGCAGCGGTTACATGTCACCAGAGTACGCATACCTAGGGAAGTTCTCGGTAAAATCTGACGTCTTCAGTTTCGGAGTTATGTTGCTGGAAATCGTGACCGGGATGAAGATCAATGGGTTTTCTCAGGAGGATCCTGCCTTGAGCTTGATTGGCTATGTAAGTGCAGTCTGGTTGCTTGAAATCCGAATACATCTGAATTCAGTCCTTTGAACACAATAGTACATTGAGCTTTCATGGAGAGGAAATGTTTTCAGGTATGGGAGTTGTGGAAAGAAGAGAGAGCCGTGGAGGTAGTTGATCCTTCAATAGAAGTGTCAAATGGTGCCCTGAGATGCATCCACATCGGGCTGCTGTGCATCGAGGAAGATCCCGTTGACAGACCTGATATGCAGGCAGTGGTTGTCATGTTGAACAGCGAAATGACACATCTTCCTCCGCCAAAACGTCCTGCATTCACTTATGGGAAGTCCAGAAAAGTCGAAGAAAGAGTGGCAGAATGCTCGAGGAACGAGATGACCATTTCCAACATCCTTGGTCGCTGATGTCTGCGACAATAAACTAATGTAGCAAATAGATATATATAGAGTCTATGAGATGTAGTCTTTCGTTGTAGATTCGTAATGGAAGGCTTAACTTTTATAGTGACCTAAGAGTATATTTATGCTTAACGAATTTGCCAAGTTTCAGCACGCTGAAACCATTCTTGCGGAGAATATGGCGGGAAAGAGAAGATGGGAAAGATTCTGGCGGGAAGACGCCATCGCCAGCTTCTGAGCTTTGATTCTCTTGCCATGTTAGTGTTTATATCTGTAGTTAGTGAATTCAGTAACAAAAGACGATTGTGATTTTGGAGAATGGTGACATTTTGAATGGTTATTTCAGGGAGGGAACTTGAGAAGTCGAGTTCTAAAACTTCACGGGTTTATCTTGAATCCCCACGAAAAGGACAACTGTGGCCACACGCAATTTTTTTTTTTTTTGGAATGGTGTTGTCTAATCAAACGCCGTTGATATTGAAAATCTCGAACGCAGCTTTCAACCTCTGTCTACATCAAAACTGGGGGGAAAGAAGAAGAAATTTCACACAAAAGATGCCTTTGACATTTCAAACATCTGGTGCTTATGGGGACCAAAAATATCAGGAAGAGTGGCGATATTTCATCCTCTGGCTATGGTGGACTTTTCCTTCTCCACCATCTTTGCTCTGCTTGGGAAGATGAAAGATAGTGTTGGAGCTAAAATTTCCATTGACGATGATGCTCCCAAGCTTGTTCTGCTATCTCTGCTTCTTCTATTCCAAGGTACAACCTTTGCTTCCAATGACACTATATATGCTAAGGGATCACTCAAGGATGGGAGCTTTGTCATCTCCGAAAGTGGTAGATTCGCTTTAGGGTTTTTCAGCCCTGGCCGGTCGAGCTACAGATATCTAGGGATTTGGTATCATAACAAGCCAGGACAAGCTCCTGTGTGGGTAGCAAACAGGAACGATCCCATCAATGGCACTTCAGGAGTTCTATCGAGCGATGAATATGGCAACCTTTTTCTATACAGCAGCATAGATCGAGAGCTTCCAGTATGGTCTGTTAACATTTCGAGGGTGTTTCTGGAGGGGTCTTGTTTTACTCGGTTGTTAGATTCAGGAAATTTAGTGTTGGTCCAAGATGCAAGTAATAGAACAATTGTGTGGCAAAGCTTTGATCATCCAACAGACACCTTGTTACCTGGCATGAAACTGGGTCTGGATAGGGGAACAGGTTTCAACCGCTTCGTGACTTCATGGAGATCAGCAGATGACCCTGGAACAGGTGATTTCTCATTTAAGCTCAACCCAAATGGCTCTCCACAGTTCTTTATGTTCTACCAGGGTACAGTTCCCAATTGGCGGAGCATGCCATGGCCCTGGGACATATACCATCAATTCTATAACGCCTCTTTTGTTAATAACGAACACGGGATACATTACTCATTTCTCCCGAGTGATCCTTCTATGGTCATGATGTGGAAAATTGTCAGTTCTGGAACAATTTTGGCGGTTGCCTGGGACGAAGTTGATGGTCAGTGGAAGGAGTTCTATTCAGTAACGCATCGAAAATGTGATGTCTATGGTTATTGTGGTGCTTATGGAAAGTGTGAACCTAGCAGCCCTTTTCTTTCTGAATGTGTTTGTTTACCTGGTTATGAACCAAGGTCTCCAAGCAAGCTGCTCCTTGGAGGTTCATATGGTGGATGTGTCAGGAAGCGATCAAAATCCTCTTCTTTCTGTGAGCCTGGGGAGGGGTTTGTGAGAGTTGCAAATGTGAAGGTTCCTGATACTTCCGCAGCCGTGTGGGTGGACATGGGATTGGATGAAGTGAACTGTGAGCATGAATGTAGAAAGAATTGTTCCTGCAGTGCATATACCACGAAGAGTATTGTTGCGAAAGGGACTGGTTGTTTGACATGGAATGGAGAACTGATGGATACAGTTAACTTCCCGGCCCCTGATGGTGAAATATATGTTCGTGTCGATCAAATTGAACTAGGTGATCAACTAATCAAGGAGTATTCAGTTTACAGAGACAAGCATGTTTCCTTATGTCTTCCTTTACTTTCTTTTACTCATTGATTGATTGTTTTCTCTTTCTGATCAGCTGACTATGCACTGCAATCTAGTGGCTTTCGTGAGCTTAAGTTGAAGTTAGTCTTTCTTATACCATCTGTTGCCTCAGTTTGGCTTGTTGGTGTCTTGTTTGCCTATTGGTGGCTAAAGAGGCTGAAGAAGTGGAAGAAGAGAAAAGGTATCCCATCTTTTGTGTTTCTATATTCTTTTACTCGGACTGTTAACAAACATCCTTGCTTCTTATTCTGCAAAAACAGCGACTGATAGGCGAATTCGAAACTTATTTCATCCGGGTGAAGATGGTTCAAATTACTTCCAAGATTCTCCTGTGATCAAGGAGATCACGCGAAGTAAAATTTATCCAGAACTACCATTTTTCAGCCTTAGCACTATTCTTGCTGCTACCAACAATTTTTCCCCTGATAACAAACTTGGACAAGGGGGATTTGGTTCAGTGTACAAGGTTAAGTCTCCATATATCAGTGTTGTAATATTTGAAAGACTGGATTGTGCAGTCTACTTGAACCTAACTCCCCTCTTTGCAATATCAGGGGAAATTAAATTCTGGAGAAGAGGTTGCTGTAAAAAGGTCGCCAAAAAATGCCAAGGGGCTGGAACAATTTAAAAGTGAATTCTTTCTGATTGCGAAATTGCAGCACAGGAACCTTGTGAAGCTCCATGGTTGCTGCATTGAGGAACAAGAGCAAATGTTGGTTTATGAGTACTTGCCCTACAAGAGTTTGGACTCTATTCTTTTCGGTATGTCATCATAGTGTCATGGAATGCTAAATATATTTGAATGAATCCTGAATTTTGTTTTCCACATGGTGTAGTTGATCAGACCACAAGCCCGTTCTTAGACTGGAGTAAACGTTTTAATATCATACTCGGGATTGCACGTGGGATCTTGTATCTTCATCAGGATTCAAGGTGCAGAATTATCCACAGAGACCTGAAAACCAGCAATGTTCTTCTGGATGCAGAGCTGAACCCCAAAATTTCCGATTTTGGAATGGCTAGAGTATTGGAAGGTGACCTAGTTGAGGGGAAGACACGTAGAATTGGTGGAACTTAGTATGTCTTCTGTTTTTTATTTTTTATAACAAGCTATCTTGTTATTCAAGTAGATATATGAAATGTAGACTGACGAAGTTGCTTTTCCACGTTTGCATTTCTGCAGTGGTTACATGTCACCAGAGTATTTGTACCTCGGGAAGTTTTCTGTGAAATCTGATGTCTTCAGTTTTGGAGTGATGTTGCTGGAGATCGTGACTGGGAAGAAGATCAATGGGCTTTATCAGGATGATTCTACCTTGAGCTTGATTGGTTGTGTAAGTGGGGTTTGGTTGGTTGAGAGACCCGAATACAGTTTTTCTAGTATAACATTACATTGAATGTTCATCAGGAGAGGAACATGTTTCAGGTATGGGAGCTATGGAACGCAGAGAGAGTTGTGAAGATAGTTGATCCTTCATTGGAAGGGTCGAATGGGGTCCTGAGATGCATCCATATCGGGCTGCTGTGCGTTGAGGAAGATCCCTCGGACCAACCTGATATGCAGGCAGTGGTTGTTATGTTGAACAGCGAAACCATCCCCCTTCCTGCACCAAAACGTCCTGCATTTGTTTATGCAAAATCTAGAGTCGAAGAAACTGCAGCAGAATGGTCGAGAAACGAGATTACATTTTCAGACACCCTTGGTCGCTGAAAAGGTACATTGATCTATTAGAATGTCGATCTTTTATGCATTATAAGGTAAATCAGATATTTGACGCGTCGTGAGTTATCTGACACATCGAAGGCACTTTTATTACAGGGACTCCAGCAATGCTCTTGTAAAGGAGGCTAGATGTACCTGGCCTGATCTACTTGTAACGGTTTCTGAGTGACGAATGGACAAAATGCAAGAGCGGTAATGCGCTATAGCCTTAAATGTTACACAGATGATATCTCATGGAGCGTTATAGTGTGGTGGTGTTACTGAAAACTCTCCCTCTCTCTCCTGCTTACAGCAATTGAAGCTTCATCTTGAGGGAAGGAGAATCTCGTCGTAGCAAGCTGAGCCAACCAATCAACTAGTTTGTTGTTCCTGCACAACTCAAACTCGAACTTTAATCAAGTACGTTGTCCGAAGGATTGAGACCACATTAGCATCAAAATGGCATTACCAAGACAATTTAATCTCTCTCCTCTGGAGTAAGGATCAAAGAAGGCTATCCAACTTAATGACAATCAGAATCTCTTGCTGAGGGGCTAGAACAATTTAAAAGTGAAGTCTTTTTGAGTGACAAATTGCAGCACAGGAACCTTGTGAAGCTTCATGGTTGCTGCATTGAGGAACAAGAGCAGATGTTGGTTTATGAGTACTTTCCCTACAAGAGTTTGGACTCTCTTCGTTTTATGTCATCATGGTGTCATGGAATGCTGTAAAGAAAGTTGGTCGCTAGAAGGGTACATTGATCTATCAGAATGCTGATTTGGTATGGATTATAAGCTAGATCATATATTTCCTCCGTGAGTTATGTGACACATCGAAGGCACTTTTCACTACATGGATTGCAGTCATCCTCTTGTAGAGGAGGCCATTGGTTCCTGGACGGATCCACTTGTAAAAGTATTGAACCAATGGGAAAACAATGTGTTATAGATGATATGTCGCGGAGCGATACAATGTGTGTTTCTTTAAATCTCTTCTGCTAGCAGTAGTTAAAGCTTCATCTGCAGAGGAGCCCAGGGATAAAGAAAATGGGGCCTTCCAATTTAACGACGGTCAGAATTTCGTCTTGAGCAGCAAGTCAGGGCACTTCAAGAAATGCATATGGTTCAGCTTAAATTGGGTATGAATACAGGAGGCTCTCAACCTTGTCACACACCTCACTGACCGATGTAGCAATGACGATCTCATAAACCAGCAATTATGGTTCAAAGACGAAATCATTATCACAAGGAATGCGCGAGAGAAATGGCTCTTTTATGTGTCATAATTAGGGCTTGCTTGTTGAATGTTTTCTACTGACTTCGTTGGTTGATATGCGATGGTTTTTCTTCTTAACGTGGACTTGGACATGTCGCAACTCGTACAGTACACAAAACCTCTATAGATCTGATCTCCAAAGTCTTCCTCAATAGCCCAATGGTATGACGATCGACTCTTAACTGAATAGTCCTAGCTTCGAACCCTAGTTGGTGGGATTCAGAATGGAAGGTCTTGCTTTGGTAGTGAGTAGTGATTCAAGAGTATAATTTACCCGTTTAAACCATTATAGTTTTGCTGATAACACAAGGCGAAGAAATACAATTATGTGAACAACCAATAATAAAAAAGAGAAGTCAATGTTACACTTAGTACGAATCTCAACATACAATACCTTTCAACTATTACACTGCCTAAAAATATACACTAATGTTACATAGAGTTACAAAAAAAAAGGAGGGCATAAAAGCAAAAGGATAAGTTAGCAAAGAAAAGGCATGTAAGCGAGTAGAAATGGCCACGAAACAGGAGGAAGCTAATATACAAAGAATTTTGCTGGCTCTCTAAGTTGGTGGATGAGGGGTTTCTACAATCTACAGTGCTCAACTCGTATTTCCGCAGCTTCTTTAATACGAACGAAGATGTACAGTAAGAACAGGCGCTACCAAATTCTGGAACTTCATGTTGTTGAGCTCGTGGATGTGACAGTAGATGAAGAGGCTGAAGGGGGGCCGAAATGAGTCTCTGTTGCTGGTGGTTCATCGAGGTTGAGCATTGGTCTTAGTCTTCTCTCGACCTCGTTGCTTTGCAAGTCAATCTCCTCGAGAAGCATCGACAGAGCATACTTGCAGGATTCTTCATCCCGGAATGCTAAGGTCCATCTGCCATCGACCAAAGTTTTTGGCTTTGCCTTTCTGGGAGTACCAAGGGCAGCAGGTCTGCCGGAATCAACAAAGGGTAAAGTGGATGGACGTATTCGCAGGTGTAACCATTTGGGGTGCTTCTCGTCGATTCTTGGCTGGAGAGTTGAAAACAGGGAAATAGCTAGTCATTACCCCAGATTTCTAACAGGTAGTGAGATATCACAGAGTAAAATTGTGACTTCCGAAGATTTTATTTTAACAAATCACGAGTCTTATAGACCACAATTCTATGGCAACATATCAAACAAGGATAACCTCTCCAGAATCGTCCAATCCTAAGATTGGAAGATTCTAAACCGGGATTTTGACAACATTAATCTAGCATGAAAGGAGTTGCAGAGAATATACGTACACTCGAACCCGCCAAAGGAGCTGTAACGCGCACAACTCCATACTGCTGCTTTTGAGGGAACTCTTCCAAGAGGAGAATCCACCCAGATGTGCCAATAGATATCGCCAGAAAGGAGAAATGGCGTTCTTTACCCCTTTCAAATGCGATCCTACAAGGCACTGTATCAACTGCAGACGGCAGTGAAGAAAAAGGAAAAAGTGTGAATTTATGTTCAGGCACCGAAACAACCTAAAAAACGAACAAAGGAGAAATTACCAAGTCGTAACTCGGTTCCCGGTTTGGGGATGGAACCATCAATGCCAGCGGTCCTCGCACGAGAAGCTCCAGGTGTATCGGCTGGAGGATAAAAGGGAGGCTGCTCAGGCAAAGCCCTACCAAGGCAGAAAATTTGAAGTTGATGAAGAAGCACAAACACCTACGACAGCAACATGAACAGCATGAGAAACCAGTATGAGTAGAGATCAAGGAACAGCAATATTAAAAACTAAGCTCTATAATCAGTATATTAAATTCTAGTTTTTATCCAAAACGAAGAAATGAAGAAGAAAAGATTGCAAACTGGGAAGAGAAAGCACTAACCTTCACTTGCTCACACATTTTTTCTCCGTAGGAGACTGACGAGTCATTATGAACATCTACAGAAGAAACAATGTTTGGTGTTTATGGGAAATTGCTGAACATGCACCTCAAGGAACATTGATATTTTGACTACTTACCATCTGAAGATGATTTCTGAAGAGGCAACAGAATGCACTTTGGCTCCTTCCTGGGGGATGAAGCTTCAATTGCTGTAAGCAGAACAGAGAGTTTGAGCAACACACATAATATCACTAGGATAAATAACACATAAATCGAGGGCTATGCGGATCCTCAGGGCTCAGACATATATGAACAAGAGATATAATATATCACATTAAAATTCTAAGGGGTACCTCTCTTGCATTTTTTCCATTCGTCACTCAATACTGTTACAAGTAGATCTGGCCAGGTACCCCTCGTCTCTTTCACGAGAGCATTACAACAATCCCTGTATGAATCCTGAGAACAAGAAAAGAATGTACAGGTAAGAACAGTCAAGTTAACCAGGAGGAAACATGACAAAGTCCAACAACCTTGAAGAAAATGCAATACTTATTGCAATGGACTGATCACAAAGTTCCATATGCATTTGGTCTTCAGTGATAATAACGTACTTTCAGCAATTTAAGATGCTGACTGTTGAATTCCGCCTCACTGTAAGGAAGTAGTTGACGCAAAAGCCAACCACCATCCCATAGTATTTCAGCAGGAACACCTGGCCGGCAGAAAAGACTCACCAATGCATCCAGAACCTACAAGATCATGAGAATAATAAAATTCCTGCAATGATAAATGAAAAGACAACTGGAAATATCTCAAGAGACAAACAGGTAGCATTCAATATATTAGCTAATTAAGTCTCCGTAAAAAACACCAAAAGATTCACCTGAAATCTATGTGTGCGAGAGCTTTTCCCAAATTCTGAGGAAGAGCATGCTACTCCGTAGTCTTCCTGACAAGCATAATTTTCAAATGTATAACAAAATTCCAATAGTCCAAAACCAAGGATTGATGCTTATAACAAATGGACTATCGTGTCATAAGAATATAGGCATCTGCTTCGGAAGAAGGGGGGTAAAAATATAACCACCAACAGAGGATAGTATATCAGAAGGGTATATTGTGCTTATACTTTCTATTTTCTGTTGCTCATAACAGAGGAATCGAGAATCACATAAATCACCTTAAGCCTTTGCAGGTAGCCACCAATCTCATTGCTAATCCCATCTTTGGTAGAGCAGCTCTCCGGTGAGAAAAGTTGTTCTTCACCTAAACCTTCACCCACCAATGCTTGCTGAAAGAAGAAAGACAATTTGTCATGTTTTGATAATCAAGGTATAACTCTAGAAAGAAAGATAAAATAGAAAAATGGTAGTTGAGCTCCTTGTAACCCGAGGAGTTATGAAAATTCTCCGACTTTAACTCAAAGATGGAGGAGAAAAAGTGTTGTGAAACCCCGAATTCATTCAGAACAAACACAGTACTCAGCATAAGGATAAAAATAGTACATAAAAAATGACTGCAAGAACCAAAATGGATCCAAACATCTAGGTTGTTCCATGTATCTTCAGTAGCGACATTACCCCCCCCCCCCCCCCCCCCCCAAACACACACACAAAATAAGACCAACACACAGTGAAAACCTATTAAAAAATAAAAAACGATTTATTTTTTTCAAAAATAACCATCCCTTAGTTAAATTAGCCTTAATTTTCAACAGAGAAGCTAATTAATATTAATCAAAAAATTATTCGGAAATCACAGTTAACAAAGTTCAATACGTGTATGTAACCAGACACCACTTACCAACAAGAGTTTCTTATGTTGCTTTCGCTGGGGTAGAATGCCAAGAGCATCAAGCATTGCTTCATCCAGTTCTGCAACAGGTGTAGTTAATCAATAAGATAACAGTAGCCAGGAATGACATCAATAGAAGTTCAATAGCTAAGAACAAACCTTTCGTTTGCAACAATGTAGCGAGCACATTCAATGAACCCATAACCAGTTGGCTGTTTCCGCTTACAACATAAGACAGCAGAATGTCCCTACAAATGCCATGAAAGTCTTAAAGATGGGACAAAGAAAAATGACTAAATTCATTATGTGAATCTTAATAACCAAAATACAAATCAGTGACCTCCTTAGACCCAAAACAAGTAATAGATGTGTGCTTCAAATAAATAATCTGGCTATGTTCTTTCCCTTTAATGAGGCATTAGCTTGATTGAATAAGAAGATACAGCAAAGCAAGCAATGAGAATAGTAAAATCAGTGAGACGAACACATCCCACATTGAATAATACACCTAACTAGTTAACCGGAGTTGATTATAAGGAATGTCATTAGACAAATCCTATTGGAAAAATTCAAGCTGATAGAAGAACCATCATCAATCTTTACCTGAGACCATGCAGTGACCTAGTGCTACTGACTTGCTTTGTGACGTCTTCAGGATAAACATGTGAAGTTGACAACTCCGTGGTTACTCCTAGTTGTTCATCAACTGCAGCATTATTGTTTTCCAACTGGTGGTGGCTCTCGTGACAATTTCCATTAGTCACATGACCATTGACTTTAGGTTCTGCATATGGTAGAAAAGCCTCCAGCGGACAAAACAGAGCAGCCGCAATGGCATTTGACAAATCTTTGATTTTGACAATGCGCAAGATGCAACAGAGCAAATACAGAGAAGTGACAGGACCAATAGGGGATTCCTGGATTTTGAAGCTATCAAAAGTTAAGTAAGAACAAGTGATACCATTAACCTGAACGTGGATCAAACAAATACTAACATACTTTAAATCTAATAAAAATCACCAGACAAACGAAAGCATGCAAAGGACAGAGATCTTTACCTTAAGAGCATCTAACCGCAAAGACGGAAGAAGCAAAGGAAGTATCAAAAGTTGCAAAATGTTGTCAGTTATCAACCTCCCAACATCAGGAATGCCAGCAGATATAACATCACTAAAGTAGTAGAGGTTGTCCTCAATTTCATCAACAGCAGCAAGAATTGCCGTTGTTCTGTCTGGCTCTGTTTTTCTGTCTCAACCATAAAATTACATTTAGGAGCTTCACACAATTTGCTTTAAAAGAACACAAAAAGAGGGAAACAAGAAAAACTTCTTACTGTGGAATTTCAGAGACCAGTCCATTTAAATCAATGCACTGCTTACGGAAAAATGATATTAAATCGGAAAAGTAGCCATCATATGGGGCTTTGCTCACGAATCTATTAACAGGACCATCTCCAACTGAAACAAAGCTTATAGAAATTAAGGTTGCTTGAGCAAGAGCCAAACATTAAGACATGTTAATGGAAAGGAGACACAATTTACTCACCATGGTAGACATTAAGTGTCAAGGCACGTACTGCAGTGCGGATCATACTCTCTTCATGGAAAGCATACCGGATGGCCTCAACATATAGAGGAAAAGAAACAATGTCCTCCTAGAAAAATAAAAGTTAAAGGCAAATGTCAATAACATGGCATTACAACAGCTATACAAACTTATGCATCCCCTCTCCCTCGGTTGGCGGTGCACCACAGGAGATGCTGCCAAAGACTTATCAAGGAGCAACTTGTACAATAACGCTAGTGGCACATTATTGAGCTCAAGGATCTTATTATCACAGAAGCAATCACTTATTCCCAATAGTAGCACAATAAAAGGTCTTACTCTCCATCAAAAACTTTGTCAAAAATCAAAATGGCCACACAATACAGTTTCCTGAAACTGTCGATCGAAAAAGGCAAACAGTATAATTATAACAATGTAGTAAAGACCACATAACCTACATTCTGAGTCTTGACTAGGAGAGAAATTGTGTTCTTATTGAGCTTTCCACTTATTGCTCTGCATATATGAGAAACAAGCCAAACCAAATTCTAACATCAATGAAACTGTGAATCACAAGCACTGAGTTGGGGAAAAAACAGATCTTTAGCCATACTGAGAATAAAGCTCAAATAAATATAATGACAATTTTACCTTAAAAAGGACATGTAATAAGACAGTAGCTCTTCATTCCGGAAATCAAACTTGTAAGTAATCAAGAAGTTAATATATTCATTACTGAACATATAGTCTGCAACAACTTCCAGAGGTAAGTTAATTAATAATTCCAGATTGTTTGGTACTGTATCATTAATAAACTGAACAGCTTCAGATTTTAATCAAAAGAAAAACATACAGATGGCATGCTCTGTTCTTAGGTTCTGGATCATAATGCTCAGTGTCTGCAGTATCTGAAGTGAAATGATCATAGATTTGCTCATCTGCAACATTCTTACGAACTCTCCCATGACTTGCTTCTCCATAAAAAAACTGAGGCAAATCAAGCAAGCATAAGCAAGTGTGGCTTGCAAAGTTTAAGATTTAAGGTATGCTGAGGGAGAATTCTCACTCAAAAAAGCTCGAGTCATGTTGGTCGCCGTAAGTTATCAACTCGGCTATTGATCTCAATGCCTCAACAACAAAATCCTAAGTTAAATACAAACACAAGGACGAGTTACAAAAACAAAGAAAAGAATGGAAATAGAGAGGTCAATAGCTAGTTCACAAAATAACGAAAATATTATTAGGAAAAGGAAAAAGCATCTCTCACCTTATTGACCTCGTTTATAATTCTCACTTTCTGAAGCTGATCTGTTAAATACCTGCAGATAGGTGGTATGTAAGCAGCATAAAGAATTTCGTCAACAAGCAACTAATGGAAAGGCTTCCAAATTCACAGAAGACCGACTTCCTAATTCTCATACACTATACGTACAGACATGAGCATTACCCCCCCCCCCCCCCCCTTCTCTTCTCTCTCTCCCCACATACAGAGATTAAAGTGGTGCTTTAGTGGGCTTAGAGATCAAACTTAATTCTGTAACATGTCAGATTCCATTCCATCACCGAACCACTGGTAGGCCACCCATTAAAGGAAAATTCAACGACTGAAGACAACTTTATAAGTTCAAAAAACAGCAGCACTGTTATAGTACTAACAACGAAAATTCAATAGTCCTACCACGATCTTAGAAACATGCCTTCATTTTTGGTAAAGGAAACTGCTCATTTCTACTCGTCAGCCTTACTAAAGATCAAAGCATTTGTGCCAATGACGGGCATTCCAGAAATCCAATGACCTACACATTCTAAGAATCCAACCCACTGCTAATATGCTTTAATCAGTCTATCATTATATCATAGTTGACAACGAAAAGTGTGTGCTTGCTACCAAAGAGTATAAAATCCGTGATCAACATATCGAAACAACTGCAAAAGAGACCGACAGGTCTCCGCAACAAGTAAAAGCTATTAACTAGGCCACAAGACCACAGAACTTTATCTAAACTTAATCCAACTAAACAGAGACGGCATCCTTCACATTAGGACTTCCCTTAATGAGAATGACCAGCAAATTCTACTGTCGATTTCCAGCAGAAAGCGGTGAACACACAGCCAATGCATCTCCATGGTAGCACTTTGAATTCCATTCTCAGTACAGGTAATTCTTAATTGGAACCAGTACAAGCCAGCAACCATCTATCCGGGGGGAAACCGAATAACAACTTGCGCCCGAACTCCTAAACTAGAAAGCACACATCGGAGGCGATTAGGCACTGTTCAACTCGAGTGAGGACTCCTACTACCAAGGCAATCAATGGCTAGAACTCAGAAAACCCTCGCCCACCGACACTAAGCCAAAACCCCCCAGTCCATCAGATTTTTAAACCCGACTAGCAGTACAGCAAAGAACGGTTCGCGACAGACCAAAATCGCCAACAAAGGTATGTAGAAAGAGCGAGTGGAGAAATTGAGAGGGAAGGAGACCTGAGCTCGTCCAAGGAGAATCGATCTCTGGGTCTCCAGAAGGAAAACCACATGATTGGGCCCTCCAAATATGGAGAGAATCAGACCTCGAGAGTCAGCGTCGGCGCGTCCAGCAACGCGGGAAGGGTAGAATTCATCATCCACCCGAAGCAGAAATTTTCAGCAGGAGAATCAGAACCTGTGCGATTGCCGCAATCGCTCCACTGGCCGTGAAGGTTGTGGGAAGAAGAGGTGACGGGTTTTAGGGATCGGTACGAAGCTTGGAGAGAAGAGAAACCTGGAGAAGACAGCTTCTGAAAAAAGTAGTGGAAGGAAAAAGGAAACGGAAGAAGGAAGGGATTTCGTTTCGTTTTGTTTCTTTATTTTTTCCCTCTGTAAATTGGCTAAGGGCGACAGCCTGAAAAAACATTAAAATCTATTTGATTACTATATACTAGCTTAAACCCTGCCCGTTGGGCAGTTGGCTCTAATATTATTTTTTTCGTTCATTTATCTATCATTATAATTTATGACTATAATTATATAGGATTATAGAGTTCATTTTATGAATGGTACATAGTAGTATAGTTTTAGCCTCCAATTTATGATCCAACATAGTTATATAGAACATTGATAGGAACAAAAATGATAGATGGTATCTGAGCTCAGTTGATCTTGAATCATCACTTTGATAAGAGCTTTAACCTCTAAAATCATTCGATATTTGCTAAAATCATAAAGCAATGTATTAAAGATAAGTCAATTAGGATGAATATTACTTTCTATAATCAACATTATTACAATTTCGGCCTATAAATGAAAGCATTTGGTGATATTTTCTTATTAGTTAATTCTGACAATATATCTTATGCTTTATAAATCAATTAGTGTCATGGCTAGCAACATTAGAGTGACAATTTATTTACGGTGGAGTCAGTCACCAATCGATAAATTAGATCCATTGGAGTGCCAAGTAAAAACAAAATTATCAAGAATTATCAAATAGTCTTGAGTTCACATACTATCTTCACTAAAATAAAATAGGTAAATTTAAAAAAAAAAACACTTTTATTCTAAAATTATATCAAAGATTTGTCAATTGACAAACCTATCACCAACCCAGATAAGTGCTGACATCTGGTTTATATGCTAAAGCCATTATAATATTGAACAACTTTAGAGTCCCAACTGATAGTCAAAGGGTATCTGCATGGAATGCATGATCTAATTGAGGGCACCTGATGTAAATGAGATGCAGAGTTGTTGGTGGATGGCCAAGAAGAAAATGCTTGAGTTGGAGTCCAACTTGAAGCGCCATAGTTATTCACAGGAACTGCACAATGATATAAGACATTGGTTTGTCGTCAGAAAAGAAAAATATATAAACGGGAGTTACAATGAATCTCTTAATATATATGCGGCTTCTCTAATACCAAATAATTATACACAACGCATACAATAAAGTGAACAAAATAGCATCATAGCAAGGCCAACGCAGAATTTGGCGTGCTTTGCGGATTGGTCTTTCCACGTCCATTAATCAAGTTCGCGGGTTGTAGGCGAGGGAGACGGCTGTCGAAGAAGGGGGAGAGTGTAGAATCAACGGAGCAGGCAAGCGGGTCGGCAACAGCGGCGATGGGTTGTGGCGGAAGAGCGCTAGACGGACAGCAGAGATGAGAGTGGGCGATGGGGCAGGCGCCTGTTGTGGCAAGAAACGAAATTCACTCTGCTCTGCAATGCAATTGATAGAAACCACGGGAGATAGGGGACAGACTGGAGAAGATTGCAGTTGCAGATTTTGGCGGATGGAGGAGAGGAAGCGGCGAATAATTTCGGGCAATTAGAAGCGACGATTTTATATGCGAGACGGGATTCTTAAAAGCTGACGTGGATAGCTTAATTTTACAGGAAGGAGTACGTGGCAATGGGTTAAATCCAAAAGGCCTTTAATAATTTTATAGATATAGTTTTGTTTTCCATACACTCACTTTTTTTTATGTCATCGTTGCCTGATATATTTTTTTTTTCTTTTTTTTTTTTACAAAAGGTAATCAGATATATTGATTGAAGAAAAAGAAATTACATCCTGGAAATCAAAAAATCGACACAGTCGGGTACAAAGCGAGGGTCTTTCTAGCCACCAAATGGGCTACCCTATTGTTACTCCGACCTACAAAACGAACAGTAAACGCACTATGACAAGTAAACATCAGAATGATCTCTTTAAATAGAGCCCCATATCATAATTGTCATTTTATTCATAACAAAATAATGTCCACTCTTCACTTGTTAAATGTCGGACAATAAAACACATGAATTTGCAATATCATCACTTATTACTATTGTTCCATTTTAAATTTCATGCAACAAGATTAAATTAGAGAGAATATTATTATCTAAAATATTATGTATTCATTTCATATAAAAAAGATATTAATATCAAAGTTTGAACCAAGGTTTCTTTAGAGAAAAACATGAATTATAACCATGAAACAAATATCTTTAAATTAAAAACATATATTAAACTAACATCTGACAAGCAGAGGATTAGCTATCCCACCAAATCCCCTCTAAATATTTCTATGGTGCTTGATATTTTAATTTTTTTAATTTTGATTATTATAATTGGAGTTTAAAAAATAATTCGGAAGTTTTTCTAACTTATAAATGAAAGATAATCATAAAATTGCAACTCAAATATCGTTAGTTAGAATATTGCATTTTGAACTGCAGTACTGAATATGCAGATACGATGTACAATTCTTTATTAATTTTAATTTAAGGGTATGACTAGTCAGACAAATTATGTCTGAATATGTCTAATACCAAATGAATTCATACATATATATTTTTATATATTTTAAAACAATCTCACTAATTTACATTCATATATTACCGAATCATTCTTCGAAAGAAATATGTACAACAAAATTGTCAATCCTGATCTTCAAACCCGCCTGTTATGTCTGATCAGACCACCCGATTTTGACTGATCTAACTCGATTTTGACTTTTTTCCAAAACTGTCTACGCGGAATATATTACAACCGTTGAAATGACCGGTTCCGGTTGGACAGTTGAAACTGCCGGCCGGATGGGGGTTGACAACCTTGGTAAGGTAACTATAATAACAACTCAATCTGCAGTTATTGATTGAGCTGTTCGAGGCAGGCATCAACTTCAATCAAATTTTCATAGCATTACAATGTGTGTGTTGGGAAGATCATGAAGAAGATATATTGCGGATAGAACGGCTTATAGATTGCTGGATTCCACAACACAAACTTGGGGAAACCAACACAAAAAGATGTCGTTGCAGGTTTCATTGAGGGAAAAAAAACCCTGGCAATTCGAAGTCCCGAATTCTTGATGGATCGCCGCCATCATCAGAAAGTTGTGTAACCCTTCCGGAGTATCAATAATCTTTGACCATGAAGGTCTGCGAGGCATTTCCAGCTGAGCTGTTTGTGTAGTTCCTGAGATGCATAGAAACCAGATAGGGGCTTGAAATTATGGCTTTCCAACGCCTGCAAATGGGCTTGAGATGAAACAAAATTTTCTAGCCTGGACATACTGAATTAAGAGCATCAAATTCTAGCATCCACACATCATCTTCAAGCTTTGTGCTGAAGTTTAAGGCACTAGTAGTAGTAGTAGTAGTTGCCACATGAATTGTAAGCTAACTAATGATGGAACTGATGAAGACTAGGAAAAGCAAAGAATCAACACACAAGAGCTCCCAAGTAATGCACAAAACAGGATATACTGTTCCAGAAAAGAGCTAAGACACTGCACTTAAAATAGAGGTTCTGGAACGTTTTATCTGTTGCAGACAAAGATCGACTAGAAGTACTGAACACTGATATAAATCAGTTTACCTCAGAAAAGCGAAAACCATAAACCCTGACTCTATCCCTTACCCAAATGAGACTTCAAAGCTCTAGAATCTAGATATATGTGAATCGGGTAGAATGACGGTACCTTCACTACCAAACGCGTGAACTCGGAGAGTGGCAAGCCCATCTAAATCCAGTTTAATGGAATTAAGAAAGACCTGAATCCTGGAGATTTTGTAAATAAAATTGCAGTGAATTATATCCCCAGTTTGTATATCAGTAGCATAAACTGCCGTCTCCTTCCGACCACTAAAGGGGGGCAATGGAGCTCAATATCGCCCTCGTTGATCAGTGGGAGACAGTGGCTACTTGCATTATGCTGGGTTACAACAGATAGTACATCACGATGATCCCACGACCTGTAAATATATTTAAACAAATTGACATCAGCAAATACGACAGAGAAACAAGATTAGAGTCGACCATCATTCACAGGGAACAAAGTTCGTGGGAAGCGACTAACCACAAGGGACACACTCCGTAGGCTCATTTTCATTTCAACCCACGTGGACTAAGCTTTCTTTATAAACAAAGACGTCAACCAAACTCGAATAATACGACAATAGAACTTTACTGGCTCGAGTAGCAGTGTCGAACAACATCAATCGATATTGGCCGTCAAATTCATCAGCAGTACGCACGATCAGCTGATCGTCTCTCCAATATCCATCTACCCGCATGCCTTTTGGAACGAATGGATCAGTAGTAACTAAATGCTTAACCCAACGCCATTCTTCATCCAGTAACCACATATCAAGTCCACAACTCCCTGGGATAAACAAAGCCAGCGACTCCTTGTACAAAGCAAGACGCCTGGGAAATTTAACGCTGATGCCTACAGGGTCGTTTATCACAAGGAAATCCTCATTTCTCAGGTTGAATCCCAGCGCGGCAACAGGAGGCGCACATAACCAGAAAGCGAACCCATTCAAGTACCAGCAATGGCCAGTGCGCTGACTTATTGCAACTTCATGCTGCAAATCTCCTACCACCTTCCAAGTATCAGTGCCCAGTGTGTACACCATCACTTGGGCAGGATACTCTGGGGAGGAGCGTCCATCGATTAAATAGTCAGTCTGGCTATAGACGTGTTGAATAATGACTACCTTCACATCATTAGCTACTGTATCTAGTCCAAACCCATAGCTCTGCTTGGAGAACCGAGTGCTGGTGGTGCATTTCCAGGTTATGGGCCCCGGCAATTCCCTGGATGCGCCTGTTGCTGGATTCCACAGTATGTACTTGGGGAACCTGCTGGTAGTGATGTCCTTGATCAAGAACAGGCCATTGCAGGGTCTGGAGACAACAGCCCCTGGCAGTTCGAAATCCCGAATTCGTGGCAATTTGGAGCCATCGAGAGAAAGTTGCGTAACCTCCATGATCTTGGACCATGAGGGTCTAGGAGGCCTCACCAGCTGGGCCATTTGTGTAGTTTCTGAGGTGCATAGATACCAGATAGGGGCTTGAAATCATGGCGTTCCAACGCCTGCAAACGGACTTGAGCCGGAGCAGAGTTTTCACTGGTAGCCTGGACAGAACTTCGAGCAGAACATCTCCACTCAAGTCATAGGCTTTGTTCACCGTTGCAGGTTTTGTCAAACGCACACCGTTCTCCCTGCCACCCTGTACATATTTTCTCATTAAAACTGATGATCGTTGGTGGCTGCTTAAAGAAATCTTACGAACAGTCATGAATTTTTGGCATTGGCCACTAAGACACCGCATAGCAGCTCACATTAACCACCTCATCAGCTTTATAATGATGGAGCTATCAATGCAGGGCATGGAACTTGAATCAACAAAAACATAGTACAAATAAACCATTCATGGAGAGGATGAGAAAGGTCAATTGGATACCTGGAGTTCATTCTCTCCCGACACCTGAGTCCGGTTGAGAAGCAACAATTCGATGGCGAAGAATCTACGCAGAAAAGCTGCGATGAGAAGCCGTAGCCCTAAACCCTAAACAGCAGAATTCCATTCTACCTTCTTTATTTATTTACAATCGATGGTCCAATTGGGCCTTCTTGCTTGTATCCGTGGATGGTACTACTACTACTGCGCCTATCAAAAACCACCAGCTTCCAGGTTCGAACCACAATATAGTTTGGTGTTTAATTGTCTCATCCTATAATATAATACATTAAAATACTAGCTTAACTCTTCATAGCCATGGGTTGAAGAATTTATGTTCTTCCAAGTTCCAAGTACCAATTCAACCTTAGAGAGATCCAACATCATTTCAATAATCCTTCTCTTTCACAAGATCCACACAAACCATTCCAATGTACACAATACCAACGTAGTGTTACTCTCCCAAACGACAAGAAAATTGGAGTGAAGAAGGAATGGCTATAAAGTATAAACTATCAGAAATCAGAAGCCAATGACAGTTGTAACTCATAACTAGTCAATGGAAGGAAAATCACAGCAACGGGAAGGCAGTAGTCACTACCAAGCAAACCGAAAAAGGAAAACAAGAGCCAAGTGGGGGAAACAGCTAATTCTCTCATATACTCTTCTTCGAAGCAATGCGCCCTAATAAACGGTAACGAAATAATCTTTGACAAAGCCCTCTACACGCTATACTACTAATATATAGTATATATATACTGTACTAACCGTCGGAGGTCTAACGCAAGGGTGGTGATTTTCCACTCGGAGACGAGTAGTCATGCGTCCTCTTCTTCTTAGGCACATGGAAAATCCCCACCATTGCATTGGCGTCATTGCCGTCTAGTCCTTCGAACCTCACCCTTCGAACGTGGCGTGGTTTCTGAACATTGCTGGTGTTAGAACCAGAGACACCAGTACTAGGAGGTAAATTGCAATTCCTTATGGCATCAGTACTAGTGCGAAGATGTTGAACAGAAGAAGGCTGTGCACGACTGTTCATCACCATTGGTGAAGCACTGGAGGGTGATAACCACATCGATATGTCAGGCCGAGATGGAGGAGTCCCTCGTGTATTCTCGAAGAGTGGATTTTTCGTGGGAGTGAATACAGTTGCCGGGGAGGTAGATGGGGCTCCCTGAAACAGCATAAAAATGGTTTTCAGCAAAAGTTGGCCGAAAATGAGTACAGCATAAAACCATTTTCTTCGCGCTAGAAATAATAAAGCACATTCTCACAGTGGAAGTAGAAGCCAAAGCAAGACGGTGACATGGCCCTCCAGGAAGTCCTGTCTGTGTGACTGGCTGAAGGATAGGAGAATTTTTTTGACAACGAAGATTAGATACAGCACCAAGAACATAGACTTGCAAGAACAAATGGACCAATTATTTTACCAAGATGATGATAGGAGCAATGTCACTCCCTTTGCAATGGCTACGCTCCATAACATCAAGGGCCTTACGCTTCCAATCCTCCATAAGTTGGTTCAGAGATTGCACTTGAGACTCCAGTTCACGAACCCGCTTTTGAGCCAAGGAAGCCTCCAGTGAGTTAGCCCTGGCCTGGTGAGCTGCCTTCATCGCGTAATCCCAAACTCCCCTCAGATAGCCTCGGGGACCCTAAAATCAAGGACTAAAAGTAAAAAAGCGTGGACAAAAGCTACACAGCAGTAAGAGAGAAAATGTTTTTGTTACCCTCTGCACCCCTGGTGGTAAATCATCAATAGCCTCCTCCAAATGGTTACCAATTGGGAGACAACATGGATGGCCATCTTTCATCCCCATGAAGTGCTGAGGGACCCTCGGTAAAGGTATTTCTTCTCCCGTACCCGAATCATGGATTGGAGCCCCTAAACTGTCATAGTAATCATCTCCAGATTGGTCCTCTTTGTTCAAAGAATCAGTTGCATCCAAGGAAAACATTTTGTTGCAGCGAAGGCTACTCATTCCTGCTTCAGAACAAGTACCTATAGGCCAATCTTGTGGCTGACTCTCAGAATGTGAAGCTCTCACCTCAAGCTGAGTGACATGAGACTCATGGCAAGGAGAATCCACGGATGATCTCTGTGGATCACCTAAAGATCCATAGCTTAGCTTTCTACTCTCTTGAACCCCTTCTGCCACGACCATGGTTGAAACATCATGGCATTCTGGTAGCAAAACTCCAACGCGCGCCCTTAAACTCTCCTTGTACCCATCACCACATTCATCGCCCTTCTGCAAGGCATCACTCATATCCACAGGAACATTCCTTTTGCACTGAGGGCTATTCTCTGCTCCTCCTGTATCTAGAACCATAGGTTGTTGTATAATTGGTTGGCTGGTGATAGCAGTGGCAATGGAATGAAGCCCCTCGGACTTAGAAGCTCTCGCCTCAGGGTGAGTTCCATGAGACTCATGGCAAAGAGACCCAACATATGATCTCTGGGAATCACTAGAAGCTCCACCACTTAGCTTTCTACTCTCTGGAACCCTCTGTTCCACCACCATGATTGAAACATTATGGCATTCAGGTTCTAAAACCTCAACTTGTGCCACCCTATTCTCATTGTGACCATTTCCACATTCATCACCCTTCTCCATGGCATCATTCAGATCCAAAGGAACATTCCTTCCACAATGAGTGTTATTCTCAGCTCCTCTAGAGTCTACATCCACAGGCTGTTCATCGTGTGACTGGCCAGTGCTAGCAGTGCCGATGGTGGCAGAATAAACACTCTCAGAATGTGAAGCTCTCACATCAGGCCGAGGGACAAGAGTCCCGTGGCAAGGAGATTCCTTAGAGGATCTCTGTGAATCATCAGAAACTCCACCATCAGTTAGCTGCCTACTCTGTGGGACCCGCTCAACCACCACCATGGTTGAAACAACATGGCATTCAGGTTTCGGAACCTCAATTTCTGTCCCTACATTCTTACTGTAACCATCTCCACATTCATCATCCTTCTGAAAGGCATCATTCAGATCAACCAAAGGATTCCTTTCAAAGTGAGGGCTCCTATCAGGTCCTCGTGAATCTAGATCCATAGGTCGTTCATCATGTGGCTGGCTGGTGCTAGCAATGCTAATGTTGTCAGAATGAAGGCAGTCAGACTGTGAAGCTCTCACTTCAGGCTGAGTAACCAGGGACTCAGGGAAAGAAGATTCCATAGACAATCTCTGTGAATCACCGGAAGCGTCATCGCTTAGATTTCTACTCTCTGGAATCCCCTCTGCCACCACCATAGTTGAAATAACATGGGATTCAGGTTTCAAAACCACAGCTCCAACCCCTAAATTCTTGTCATGACCATCTACACATTCATCACCCTTCTTCAAGGTATCATTCAATGGAAAATTCCTTTCACAGAGAGGACTACTTTCCTCTCCTCTCAGATCTACTTCCATAATAGGCCTTTCATCATGTGCCTGGACGATACTACCAACACCGATGTTGTCAGAATGAAGGCCCTCAGATGGTGAAGCTCCCACCTCCGGCTGAGCAACATGAGACTCATGGCAAGGAGATCCCATAGATGATCTTTGTGGATCACAGCTAGCTCCATAACTTAGCTTTCTACTCTGCAGAACACCCTCTTCTACCACCGTGGTTGAAACATCCTTGCATTCAGATTCAGGATCCAAAAACTCAACTTGCGGCACCAAATTCTCAAATCCACATTCATCATCCTTCTGCAAGGAAACATTACGATCAAAAGGAGTATTCCTTTCACAATGAGGGCCACTCTCTGCTCCTTTAGAATCTTCATCGATGAGCCGTTCATCATTTGGGTGGCTGCTTGTATTACCAGTTTTCAACTCATCCTGAGTAACATGAGATTCATGGCATGGAGACTCCATGTCTGATCTCTGTGAATCGCCAGAAGCTCCACCATCACTCAGTTTTTCACTCTCACCCACCACCATGTTTGAAACAACACGGCAATGAGGTCCCAAAACCTCACCTTGCAGCCCTGGATTCTCATGATATTCATCTCTACATTTGGTATCCTTCTGCAAGCCCTTGTTCAGATCAAAGAAAGCCTTCCCTCCGCAGCAAGCCAATCCTCTCAAATCCAAACCCATTTGTGGTTGTTTATCTTGTGGGGTTTCAGTCTCCGCAGCATTGGACCCTGAGTTCGAACCAGAGGTCACAAACTCGGAAGCTCCCACCACTTCCTCAGTCGCAGGCAATCCCTCTGAATCAACTAGCTTATCACTCACCAAAATCGTCTCTCTCGCCATAGCCGAATCAACCAGGAGTTCTGATTCCGATTCTCTAACAACCGCCCCAGGATTTCCAGCATTATGATCAGTGGGAATTGTATCACTACTCTCTTCAAGGTTCTCTTCCATGGGTTCAGAGTACACACGGCCTGAAACTTCGCAAAACAGACCAAACCCACCACGATTCAAATTCCAATTTGTACAAAAAAATAAAAAGCGAAACCACTGGTTCAATTAGAATTCATAATAAAAACTGTTCTCCAAGCAATTATCTATCGTATGTAATTCTGATTTCTGACAAAACTAAAAAAAACTAAAAAGTCGAAGCAAAATCGGCATTGTTGCACATTGTAGGAGAATTGAACTACCCTGGAAGCTCTCTCTCTCTCTTCTAGCACAAACTTCAAACCTCTCGGCCACTTGGAAAATTTCCAACTGGAGAACATGAGATAGTAGTCAGAGAAAAAGAATTGGGACTGAGCTTACCTGAATCAGGAACAATGGCGGCCGTCACTGCAGCTAGTGGTTGGCTTGGTTGTAGGACCTTGGCATCTTCAACTTCCGGAATTGTCAACTTCCGGCGTCGAGCATAGCTTAGGAGCCGGGGCTGGGAGAGACTCATGCACGCACGGAGACGGTGGAACAGAGAACGAAGCGCAAAGAACACTGAAGACCGAAGAGAGAGAGAGGGGAACAGTTTAGAGAAGGAAAAGGAAAAATATACGAATTCTAACTCCTCTGTTTCCCCCTCGTTGGAATATGGGAAACGGGCCTGTATTAGTTTATCCAGGCCCCACAACTTGGGCCTCAGGCCTTTTTAGTATGCACAGCACCCATAACCTAGCCACTAAAAGCCCACGCTGGCCAATGGCCTATTGACAAAACTAAGCGGCCAAACACGCGCGAAAACAAAAACTAAAAAACGGAAATAAAAACACTGGTACGCGAAACGTTTCAGCAACCGGAACTCGATAACGGCCGAGAAAGATATATTGATGACATATCGTGACATTTACGCGATATATTGAATCGGATACTGTTTTCCGGTTGCCTGAGCTGACCGACGGCGACGGCGACGGAGAGGACTGAATTACACGACGATCAATACAATGGTGCCTATAAATAACTGGAGAACACTTCTAAGTTCTCACTTAACTACAAACTGCTTCAACTGCAAACCGTTTCACAAGGCCAGAACAAAGACCATCATCAAGCTCCTCTGATTCTGTCATCACCGGGATCGAGCATCCTTTCTTCCCAACACAAGCCTGCATGCAAAAAAAACAAAAGCGCAATTCACCATACATCAGGAAACCTGCATGACGTGAAGGGTTACTCTTCTAAGTTCTCTCCTTTTACTACCTTACGTACGAAGCTCGACATGTCAGCATGGCAATCCCCGGGAACAAATGAGCCACAGTTCCCACCAGGGTTCCCGAAGCCGGCAAAGTTTATCGACGAAATGAGCCGTCGTTCGTCGCTGCAGGCAAGGCGAACTTCGGGCTGGCTCTGACGAGATACGAGCTCATTAGTGTTCGGCTTCCACGAATCGACTGGGGGAGGATCGTCCTCTGAGACCACTGAACATATAACTTCTGCATCGGTTTGTGTCAGGACCGTGATTTTCGACGGATCGCCTCCCAGCTCTTCGTGCAAGACGAGCAGGTTTTCGCCGCTGTGAACCCAGGCTCTCGGCACATGGTACCTGTGCAGGGGGATTGATTACAAATGTCAGGTTGTCAGTTAAAAATTCAACCAGTCTAACAGGAGCTGGGAAACAGAATCAACAAGCTTTAACACAGAAAAGAAGTTCTGAACTTTTGAATCTAAACTTTGATGCGCGGAGATTAGATCCAAAATTTCAATTCGGTGAGGATGTGTACTGAATCGAAGAGTGAGCAACTGCAGTAAGACTTACAATGTTTGAGTGGGTTGGCCACATTTCCTTTGACAAGTAGATGAGTCATGATTTCCTCTGTAATCGCAGTTCTCAGTGCAACCAGTGGGAGGGGAAAGATAGGCTGGCCAATATCGACCAATGCCATGCCCGTTCACCCATGCCTGACCTTTTCCCATGCTGGATAGGTTTAGAGCTAAAGGTCCCTTCCCTTGTGGAGAAAGGAATGTGGTCTAAGACAAGAAAAAAGGAACCAGTAAAAAACCGGAAAGCAATCAAATCAGAGTGTTCTCACAGAGATTTTCTCATCCTGCTGTTACTGGTTTAAGTTGACATCAATCAAGACACTAACCTTGTACCATATCAAACTATTAGCAACAGGGAGAGAACTTCCATGACTCCAGTATGAACTGTTTGCCAAACTGATTTTATCCAGTCCAAGGTGTTCTCCTTTGAGCCCCACCTAGAAGTTATGAGCATGTATAAAATTCAGAAGATAAAAAAAGCCAGAAATACATTGTCATGACTTGATCTGAAAGAAGAGGTATACTTAAGAGCAAGTTGGTTTAAAATATTATCCTTAAACCTGATAGGTCCAATTTTGAGAAGAAATGTCACGGTTGCCATTCATGAAGCCAGCAAGAACAACTTCGTCAATCCCAGCTCCTTGAACGTCGAACCAGGGTCCATAGTTCTGAAGCAACGGCAAGGAATGAAGGTTGTTACAGGAAAATCGAAGAAGTATTCACTAAAGATTTAAGAACTTGTTCTTTACCTGCAAACCAACCATCATACTCAAAATATCCAGGGTATTTATACCCTCTTCAAGGCTGATCCTCTGAGCGATTGAGAATTTTTCATCGTCATGGTTACCATATCCAAGACCTGCAGCGAGATTACCCCAAACGTTAACACTGTCAAGCAAATTTTGATAGACAAAACAGAAACAATATACTATTTAGGGATGATAATAGAATCACCTAGGAGCTTCTTGTTAACAAAGACCAGTGCTACATGTCCCATGCTCTGGACATTCAAGAAGCCATCCCTATCTTCCGTCGAATTGACATATATACTGCCAAACACGGGGAAAAATGGAAATATGAACAATGGCACGTTTTTTTCTTGGAACACTATCACCCCATTTGATTCAACTAGTTGCCAACTGTTGGTGCCTCTAGTTGAGCAAAACACCAACTTCTCAATCAAATTCCAACTCCTAACTTAAACCTTTAAAATCTAGGACCTCACTTCATTTTTTCAACATTCCGATCCTTCTTTGCCTTCTATAAGACTCCAAAACCTTGTAGGGTCATTTTAGACTTTTCTTACAGCTCGATATTGCAATAATTTCATCTATCCTAAATGTGACCAAATTGTGAGGAATATCTCTTCAAACACACTTTCGTTTCTACCATTTGTTTCTGTTTGAAAGCTTCTCCAATATGACTGCCTGATTCACGTACCTGGTTGAGTACCAAAGAAAATCACTGGTGTCTTTGGTGGTATTGATCTGCTCCAATAGTCCCGACTTGGTAAATGAGTTGGTCCCCCAGATTCCAACATATTCTTGGTACCAGCTCCAATCTGATGTAGCGAGTGAAACCTCGTGCGTACTAGTTGATCTAGTGAATGCATTTTCAGCAGGATGCCTTTGTGAAACAACCTTACAAATCAAGAAAACATCATCATATTGATCATTTTGTCTCTATGAAACCACCAATTCAGTTCAAATGTCACAATAACTTGAAGAGTTCCTGTGGCACAATACTCGATCTTTCTATCACTCCGGTACCTTTGCTGTGTTGAATACGACATTCTTACAGTCTGGAAGTATGCTCACAGACCAAGCAGGAAGGAAATACTCATTCCCTTTGAATGTGACTCTGGCATCAGAAATGCTGTCGAAATTGGCAAGAAAGGCTGCACAACTGTTGGAAGATTTGTAGTAAACGTGCGCCTGAAATGAGCCAAAAAAAGGTTGTAAGCAACTAAAATATGATGCTATGAATGGAAGGGGCTGATATTGTAATATGGATCGCAGTAAAGGAAGAGAAGAAACCTCTAAGTTTCGGCCTAGTTTCTCAAGTGTTGGGTCTGAGCTTATGAGATATTCCTCACATAGCTTTATCGCTTTGTGCAGGTCTCGGAGATGGCCCCACTTTGGTTGTCTAATAAAACCTGCATCAGAATTTTTCACCACCCAGAAAAAGGCTCAAAACGTTATCCATCAGTAAAATTAAACAAAAAAGTATTTTTAGAGGTTGTCTGGATAAGAGATAGTGCACTGCAATCACTGTCATTGAGGGTTGTTAACGACTATCACTTTGGAGGAGCAAAAAGTGGTTATGAATGGACAGATTGAAATATTTAAAGACTACAAATATTTCATCCAGCAATCTATTCTAACAATATACTTATTTCAAATGCATCATATCAAGAATCCGCCTATTTTTACAATCTCTCATCCAAAACCCAATTTAAGGTAAGTGACTTGTAATGAAAAGTGTGAGTTCTTAGTCTTACCATATTCATCAATTGGTGCATCGTAGTCATAGCTTGTTGCGACCAGAGGGCCTCCAGCTGTTCGCCCAAAGTTTGTTCCACCAAAATACTGTACTACATATAACACAATTGAGAACATTGAAAGGAACCAGATGATGCAAGTTGTTCCATTAACCAACATATCGAGTGATCAGAAGGCATCTCTTACCATATAATAGTTTTGAAATGTGCCACCATATTCGAAAAACCGAGCAACAGAGAAAGCCAAGTCCTCGACAGGTCGGTATGGGATGGGGTAACCAAATGAAAGAAACCTACCAGGCCAAATTTCACCACTAGGAGATCAGATTTCTAAACCACAATATGCAATTTCAGGGTAAACAGGTGATAATAGTTACCATCCACTATAGTTCTCTGTCCACATTTTAGGCTTGGAAGGAGAATTTGGAGTGAACTGATCACAGTAAAACCCATTGCATGTGTTTATCTGCATGGAAATTCTCATTATACAAAACTAACCACGCATCTGAGATTGAGAGAAAGGCATCACAAACCATTTAGTTTGGTGAACTGGTGTAGAACATAATGGATAAAGACATAAAGTAATAAAAAGATAGCCATACTATTGGATCTGGAGCATCGCCTTGTGCGCACATCACCCAAGGAACAGTGGTGTTCAAACTGACAGCAGTTTTTGCAGCCCATTGAACATACAACTCCCCAGGTTGCCCATATGATGACTCCACGTTCCCATATTCATTCTCAACCTGTTTCGCCATATTAATCATAGGAATAAAGCCAATATATTGAGTATTATGAATTTATGATCAGAAATGCACAGCATCTCATTCTAAATGCATCAATTCACCTGGGCAAGAATGATCGGACCGCCTTGTGAGGCAAAGAGACGCTCCTCCTTCATCAGGTTCACAACTTTTGCAAGAAACCGCTTCATCTCATTCTGCAATGCCGACAAAGTAAGTGGGCATTGCTATATGGTAGAAGAAACCAAAAAGCAGAGAACTTCATATACACAGTCCAGACAATGTTCATGAGCAGTAAGTACCTTGAATATTGCATTATTGGTACGGAACTGAATCCCAGGAAGGAAATGCAACCACATTGGAAATCCTCTGTTAGAATAAATAAAAAGTGAGGTAAACTTATACGAAGTACACAAGATATCTCATATAATTTTAAGTAAGCGGTTGTTTTCTTTATGGTGGTTTCAGGGTTTTTCAACAGAGATTATAAAGGCACAGGATGGACTAGAGAAGATGGACGGCACAGGAAGCTAGAATTACATATTATCTTGTAATCTCTGTCATGAATAAATATGAACCGCGTCCAAACCCGAGTTGGAAACTGGATTACAAACCAAGATCATATGAAATCAAGAAAGAAGATGAAATGCAGAAAGGCAATAAGTATGACTTGAACACACACCCATAGTTCCATTCAGCACAAGCATAAGGACCGATCCGCAAATGAACCAGAAGACCAGCTTCCTGAACTGTTTTGACAAACTTCACCAAGTCAAATCTGCCTTCAAAGTAGTACTACCACAAAGAACAAGAAAAAAAAGTTGTGTAAGCAAATGGCATTGATCGCAGCATGACCAAAGAGACTGAAACTGAAAGCTCGGAAGTCCTAACTAGGTAGTAAAAAAAGAAATCCCCTATTGCAGATTGGACAGTGAATTTTAATTACCTGCCCTCTCTCAGGCTCATGATTGTTCCAAAACACGTAAGTTTCAATCACGTCCAACCCTCCTTCCTTCGACAGTCTAATAATCTCTGGCCACATCTGAAACACACAAACAATTCAAATCCAATATAGAATCATCTTTTAGTATCAAGAAAACAAAATAAACCAAAACAATTTTTTACCAAACATAAAACTCAGGTGTTGGCCATAGTGCTCAAGTTTGGATCACCAAAACTAACCCATCTAAGTTCAAATTCTCGAATTCAAACAATCTATGAATAATTCGGCATTGCCATGAATTCTCGTTCCACTCCTAGCATTTTAACTTTACAAGAACCATGATCCAAATGTATTGTGCTTGACCATGGCTAACTCACAATATCAACTAATGTACTAAGACCCAACTTTAAGCTAGACTTCCGTTGAAGTAAGCAAGTGAAAATTTGGCTAGCATAACATCAAGTCACAAACATCTACCAACGACTCAAGTTACTGGAACAAACAAGTTACCTCAGCTACAACAAACTAAATGAAGGATTCTGGAAGTCTTAAAGAGCATATATACCTCAGGTGTAGTTCTAGGATAATGAACGGAGCCAGAGAGCAAAACCCTTCTCTTCCCATCAATAACCAGAGCTCGATGATCATAACTCACAGTAGAACACCTTCCTTCCTCAAACCAACTGCATTCACAAATTAGAACACAGAGCAACACAATTGCCAAACGATTAAATCCCCTGGCCATATGACAGTGACAAAGTAGAAACAATGAACCAATGGAATGAAAATGGGAATTCTCACTCGTTGGCAGTGGAGGATATGTAGTAGCGCTCCTACAGAATGTGGGCGAAGAAACAATTGGAATTTCGCTTGTGGTGATCGATGGCGACAAAAACCAGAATGGCGCATCCGCCAGAGCTTTGTGCTTGTTCTGTAATGGAGGGTTTAGGGTTGGGGCCATCTTGTGCCATGGAAAACGATTGGTTTTCTAATCTTTTCCCCAATCAATGGATAGGAATTAGAACAGTACGCAGCATAAGACGGTGAAGCGGGAAGATGTCTTTCTTCGTTCACGGGCGAACTGTTCAAGATAGCGTAATGAGATATTAAAATGACGATTATTTTTAATAAACTGTCTTATGAAAAACGTGGGGATTAGAGAAACTGGACTGAGGGCCCAATTGAAGAACTTTATTTCTATAAACATTGGGCTCAGTCTGATGGGCCTATCCCTAAGAATCATAAGAAATGGCCAGAGAATTGGGCCAAATTGCGAATATCATTTCATTAATGGACCCGCTAGGGTAAATAGCAACCCAGTCTTGCCACGTTTGTTATAACGTATCAAAAGTTGTACAAAAAAAGTTAATGATAAAGATATTTTGTGATTAAATTTTGGTTTAATCGTTATTTAACTTTTCACACCATTAGAAAGTTTTTCCAATCGGATAGCTGGTAGTAAGGTTCAAGAAGGCATTGGGCCTTTCGCGGGCGTTGGGGTCTCGCCTAACACCTAGCTTGCCTAGGCGTTGGGAAAAAAATAATTAGTAACTTATTTGCCACTTAACAATAAGAAAATTAGTTCAAAAGTAGATAGAATCATAGCTCAATAACTCATAAGTGAATGGAATCATAGCTTAACAGCTCACAAAGTTCTTGAACTATAAAAAATATTGATATAAGAATATTTAATTTGTAGATGATATTACCCCCATAATATTGACTACCTAATTCCATCTAATTATGTCTAGGACACACCTAGTGTCGCATTACTTCGTCTACGTGTTGCCGTTATATAATTTACTTTGAAATTCAAAGGCGAGGCATTTTTTCGTTGTCTAATACCTAAACACACGTAAACATAAGATTAAACACGTCTTTTTGAACCATACGGTATAATTTCACCAACACCGATTATTTTGCATTCAGTACCCCACCAAGAATGTCCCATGTCGACATGTTTTAACACTATTGCAGTTTTGACAAAACGTAAAGAGACCCATCACCACATCCATCATCCATTGTCGACATGGTTAGTACTAATTTGCAATAAGTGACACACGTATCCAAAATCTTACCTACTACAAATAAATAGAAGAGGCAGCTTGACCATTAATGTGAATTATTATTGTGAGTTATCACTAGTAGGACCTTACTCCATAACCATTTATGCACGAGAAAAAGAACATCTATCGGTACACGTGCCAACTGCCATGAATAATACAAAGCTAGGGACTTTTTGTGTCATGTTTCTCTAAGGATAATTGCTTAAACTTCATATTTAAAATTCAAAATAATTTGATTTAAATTACTGAGAGAAATTCTTACAAACATCGTGTCGCTATTATTCAATCTGACTATAGTGCTGACAAATGTCTTGTGAGAACTTGTTTACGACAAGTCACAAAGTGCAGTGAGGACTTGGAATAACAATGGGACAGGTCGAGACGGGTGTCTCAATAGCCCTACTTAGGAGCGGAGCTAGCCCCTTACAAAGGGCTTCCGTGACACCCCTTTGATTTGGAGAAACCACCAAAAGTTATTAGTATAAATGTATCAATAATAAACAAAAAAATCATAAATCTCATTGTTAATTGACAAATTTTAGTATCCAACCACGATCGTTTATATAAATTAATTAAACATATATACTATTATCCACATTAACAGTTTATCAAGATGGGTTTGATGTGCATATTACTAGAGAAAATAAATAACATTCTATGAAAACGATAATCGGAAGAGAAAATTGGTTCCCGTCAATGGATGTGCTTCTGAAATTAGGTTTAGTTTGCTACTACCTGTTGTCAATACACATGTTAGCAGAATATTTTTTGGAATGGGATAGTTGACCAGTCTAATAGAGTGAAACGAAATTGTGAATGATTATACGGTGAGATAACATTAAGAGCCAATCTTAATACTTTGAATAATTATGTAATTTTAAAATAATTAGATAAATATGAAACGTGAAACTTCATAATAGGTTATTGTTCAAAATTTATTTTACGTTATCTTTTTTAATGTACCACATTGAACGAAATTCTGACTATGTATCTGGCCATACTTTAACAAGTTGGGTCCACAGTTCGGATAATTTATTATAGAACATGAACCGGAATAGGTCCATCCATATGGACATGTAAAAATCATTAAACAAGTCATAACATGATAGACTTGATTAAATTATTCGATGAATTGAAGTTTTTATCAAAATAGCTTTTTTTTCAACAAAATTTCCCAAAAGAACATATCCTTTCAAGGTGGGCCATATTTACCTGTCAGGACTCCATACGTCCACCCCGTGTTTTCCGTTTTCCCACAGCTCTTCAGATCCCGACAGCAGACGTAAATAGCAGAAAGAGCGGAAATCCTTCTCATAGAGTCATAGCACTCTACTGAACGAAGAAGAAGGAAGACGAAGAGCTCCATTACCAATCTCGGAGAAGGAAGATTTTTCATCCCGGTTTCTCTGCGCGCTGGATCCGTCGCCGTTCGCTAACCGGTAATGTTTTCCGTCTCTATCACATCGTCGTTGATTGTTGATCGTGTCATCCCTGGGGTTCGTCCCACCATAATTTGTGCTAGCTGGAATCCGTAGTTCAACCTGCGATGAAGTTAGGGATTCAGTTTGTTAAGTTGACACCTAAGGATAGACTATAGAGCATTAGAGCAAGTAGAACAAGTTCTCGAGCTTTCAAATGCCAAGTCAGCTGAATAAAATGCGCTTATCCCCTTTTCTGGCGTTTGCCGTCGATTTCAGCATACGAATTGGATTTGCTAGGGTTTTTGCAGTGCTAATTCATCGGCGGAGAAATCACGGGAACTGTGTATTGGATACTGGTGGTTTTACCATGGAACTGGAGTTTTCTTTCGGTGGAATTGATGATTTTGGAAGTGTTTGGTGAGTTGGGGTTTTCAATCCCATGAACTGGGAACTGAGTTATTGTTCATTTTGGCAGGTCTGGTTGTTGATTAGCTGCTTCTACTACACAATGGATATTTCGAAGTTTAGTCGCGGTCAGTTGACCGTGATGGGTTCAGGGCTGAGTGTGATGCTCACGATGCATTTCACGGTGCAGCTTGTATCGCAGCATCTCTTCTACTGGAAGAACCCTAAAGAGCAGAAAGCCATAATCATTATCCTTCTCATGGCTCCTATATACGCTATTGTGTCGTTCGTGGGGTTGTTGGATATCCGTGGAAGTGAAGCTTTCTTCATGTTTCTAGAATCAATCAAGGAATGTTATGAAGCTTTGGTGAGTTACTGATGCTGCTGGTTTAGATATGGTGTTTCTCACCTCTTGTTCTCTCTTTGTGTTGTTGACCAGCTTTTTCGCTCCAACTTTTTGCATTTCAGGTGATCGCCAAGTTCTTGGCTTTGATGTATAGTTACCTCAACATATCCATCAGCAAGAATATTGTCCCGGATGGAATCAAAGGGAGAGAGATTCACCATTCTTTCCCAATGACACTTTTCCAGGTGTGCTAAGCCATCTCTTCTTGCCCAGTACTTCAATGAATCATAAACCAGATGTGGAATATATTATATCGGACTGCTGATTGTATCAACCATGTGTGCTTTACCATTTGCCATTTTGTTCCTTCATTCTCACAACATTTTGATTGTGTATGTGATGCAGCCTAAGACTGTGCGGCTTGACCACCGAAATTTGAAGCTCATCAAGCACTGGACCTGGCAGTTTGTCATCCTCCGCCCAATATGTTCCATCCTGATGATAACGCTGCGAGCTCTCCAGATATACCCTTCATGGTTGAGTTGGACGTTCACCATAATCCTTAATGTCTCTGTTTCTCTGGCACTGTATTCCTTGGTACTCTTCTACCACGTCTTCGCAAAGGAGTTGGCACCTCATAGTCCACTTGCAAAGTTCTTGTGCATCAAGGGGATCGTCTTCTTTTGCTTCTGGCAGGTAATATATCTCACTCCCTTCCAATTCCAAAACAACCCTATAACTAACTGGTTACTGCTTTCTATCTTCAACTTCATAGAACTCAATTAAGCTCCCCTTCCCACCCACTTTATCCCCTGCTCGGTTTTCTCTCGTTTATTCACAAGCCCCACTTTTTGAGAATCTGCAGAGTATAGTGCTTGACGCGCTAGTTTCCATGGGGATCATCAAATCCCATCACTACTGGTTGGACGTAGAGTATTTGGAAGAAGCTTTCCAGAACATCCTTGTCTGTTTGGAAATGGTTGTATTCGCAGTTCTCCAGCAGTATGCCTACCCTGTGACCCCTTATAGTGGAGACGTACAAGCCAAGCTGAAGATGAATAAGAAGACTGAATGAATGAACGATGCACATCAGACCATTATTAGACTACACGATAATAAACGCAATGTATGCTTCGAAGATCCACGATATCTACCATGCACCATATATTCCCCTCCTGGATCAGTCTGGAGCATACTGGGAATGAATGTATGTGGACTCATTTCGTAAGCTGTTGTTGTGTCTCTATATCCACCTCTCTTCGTCTTACAAATGTGGTTTATCTGGTGTTCGAGTGTTCTAAGTGACCTGCGAATCTAGTTCGTCATGGAACCCTACTTCGAAACTTTCATATCCGATTCTTCAAGATGGTGACTTGCAGTTGCAGGTTTGGGTGGGCATGGGCGCATTCTTATTGCTGTGTGCTGGTTGGCATGTTGTTTAGGAATTGGCTCTTTATGCATTTGGCTTTGGGTTAATACCTTATTTTGGCCCGAACTATGACCATATAATCAACTTTGGCCCGTGGTTTCAGAAATTAACATCCTGGCCTCAACTATGCAGCATATAGACTCAATTGGCCCGACACATAGTTTGACCTTCAATTTGGACGGTCAACTCCGTTGACCGTTAGTCAACACGCCATGTCATTGCCTAGTCAGCCTAAAAATCATTAAAAAAATTATTTATTATCAAATTAACCAAAAATAAATTATAAAAAACATAAAATAAATTAATTTTTTTTTTAGATAAGGGTGATATAGGTTATTTTTTGTAATTAGGTACTACTGAAGGGATTCGAACCTGAGACCTCCAGGTTCAAGGCTAGTAGTATTACCACTAGACCAATCCCTTGTTCGTTAATTTTTTTTATTTTTTAGATAATTTGAAAATGATAAATTTTATAAATTAACCAAAAATTATCAAATTATTTTATATTTTTAAAACATCCCAAAAATATATAATTTATATCATAATTTTTAAATTAATAAAATTTAATTTGATAATTTTGGTTAATTTATAAAATTTACCATTTTCAAATATCCCAAAAAAATTATTTTATATTTTTAGAATTTTATTTTTTGGTTAATTGGAAAATGATAAATAATAAAAATTAGGAAAATAATTTGAATTAGAATTTTTTAATGATTTTTATGCTGACTAGGGAATGACATGGCATGTTGACTAACTGTCAACAGAGTTGACCGTCCAAATTGACGGTCAAACTATGTGGCGGGCCAATTGAGTCTATATGCTGAATAGTTGAGGTCAGGATGTTAATTTATGAAACCATGGGCCAAAGTTGATTATATGGTCATAGTTCGGGCCAAAATAAGGTATTAACCCTTTGGCTTTTGCATTCTGATCCTGATTTCGCCTTATTGAGTGGGCCTTCCTTCTTGTTGGGATTCGTTGATCAATAGACCTTGACTGTTTGGGCCGGGGCGAAACCCTGAAGCGGGATGGCTAAATCCAAATTCATCCAGTTCTATTGAGTGCAACGCCAGCCTCTTTCATCCTAAAATCGGTACGGTATCGGTATCCCAATACCAAATACCGAAATCCCGAATACCGAATTACACCCTAAAATCAATCCCAATCCCAATCCCTAAATAATTTCGGTATCCCAATCCCAATCCCTAAATAATTTCGGTATCCCAATCGGTACCTCGGTATCCCAATCGGTATTATCGAATATATAATTACTTACCTTTGCAATTAATAATTAAATATATAAATTAAATTTTATTGTTTAATTTAGGGCGAAGAAACTAAGCAAATAGTCTTGAGTTGCCTAGAGCTAACATCTTAAGTTCTTGTAATTGGTAATCTTTAATTTGACGAATTTGAGGTTGAGAGACGACTAATAATAGTGTGAAATAGTGATATAATGATCTATGTATAATTAAATGACACTTTTGGTGGTTGATGGTCGCTTAGTAGTGAATGTGAGAGTCTAGTTGAGAGGATAAAATACACACTAACTTATATTTCGGTATTGATCGGTATTTCGGTATATACCGATCCCAATCCCGTAATCCCTAATACCGAATAACAATTGAAATTCAATCTCAATCCCAATCCCACAAAATAATACGTATATTCGGTAATACCAAATATAGACAAATTCGGTACGGTATTCGGTATATCTCAAATACCGGTACCAAACTTCCGGCCTAAATTAAGAATGGACAGATTGGGTTGCGCACTTGCGCCCAATCTTAAACATTTGAGCCCTTTTCACTGGAATATAGAGTTGGTTGACTTTAGGCCAAATCATCAGTGAAACACTACTATAGTACTCTGGGAAGGGCTACAATGTGGTATGTGGGCACTAAAAGTCAACCCTTTATAGTTTATACCTTAATATGCGTGCAATAACGACATTAAAAAATGTAAACTTTTATTATTCTAAAAAATAAAAATGTAACAATCGTGCAAGTTTTTTCTTCGATAAATAAGCTCGTTTATTCATCGAGAAAGAATGGTTATAAGTAACCATTCTAACTGGTAAGCAAACATCACCGCCATTTATCACAAGTACATACCTCTTTCAGGCACTATCTATAAGAGAAACAAACTTTACAACTAATCACAACAAAAACTTCTTTAAACTATACTATTTATCTCTTCCTCTAAAATGACTACACCAATTTGAGGGTATCCATTTCGCAGTAATGACAACAGATTCTGCAGCTTCTTCAGGAACTGAGTTTCGACCAGGTATTCACCAGCATATAACCTTCTACATCTCTCCCTCCATAACTCGATTACCACTGTAATTCAAAGGAGCCTGACACGATCAGACGCTGGGTTGCTGACTCAGAATTCTGCAATAGCTAACTCCAAAGAAAAGCCTCCCAACTACCTCCAATTAAAAGTTGTGACTGAAACACAACTTGTATAATGTTCTGGGAGAATGCACATTCAAAGAATAGATGGCTCTTAAGACTATGTAGCTGAGGAACAGTGAGAACAAGTGTTTGAAGCAGAGGGATTCCAAATTTGGACTTTATTTAGGGTTGTGATCCTATTGAAAATTATCAATCAATCTTTATAAAAAAATTATTAGTCAATCAAGGGTCTTATTCCTAGGAGTGCAATAGGACTTCCCGGCAAATTTGTACCACTGAACTTTCTCATACCTTAGTCTGATTGTTTCCCAAACCTTCTTAACAGAAAATCGTACAAGTTTCGAACAAATTGTGCTTAAGATTTTGCGTCTATGCTCATTTCTCTTTAACCCATAAGTACAACCTCAATATCACCCCCATATTACTCGACACTTGGCAACATATGGTCAAAATCTAGGAATATATTATCTACCCATTATCTTGCTTTTGTTTAACCTCTAAGTAAACCAAAGTTTGGTCTAGGTTGGTAAATGGCATATCTCTTCCTTGAGAGAAAATGAGTTGGAAACGAGAAGCTAGAAGATTCCCCATTCCATGCATTAAGGAAAAAGAAGAAGAAAAAAACATTAATTAAGGATAAAGAATGTAAGATCTAGATTCTAGGCAGCCATAACGTGTACGAGGTTACCATTTGGCACCCCCAAGGTAAATGGGCGGTCGACTAGATCCGATCAGAAGGTATTAAAAAAAAAAAAAAAGGAAAACTGCACTGTGCTTTCACACGGTTTGACTAATTGACCTTTGACTTCTGGGCCGCCGTTTGGATGACGGAGAGAAAACAGACTTCTTTTTATATGGGCTTATGTTTATCCAATAGCGACATGCAAACCGTTACTGTAAACGGTGGGTGGGCCTAAAGCCCATCATTCTCGTTTTAATCTGGTTTGCCCGACTTGTCCATATGTTTGGCGGGGCCCGGAATGGATATACCTACAATTAGGCTGGGTTTGAGTAGGATGTCACACGAGACACGTGGACGTGGTGATATATGAAAAAATTAATCACGGCCATTAAAATTTAAGTGAAGATAATTTATTAAAAAAAAAATTAAGTTACGAGAAGGAAAATTTAATGAAATGGTTTTAGGGCTAGCAATAAATTAGAGGTCTTTATAATGAGAAAAAAAAAATGAATGGGAAAATGACAATGTAAGAAAGAAAAGAATATATAAATTTAGGTGGTTTAATAATATAATTTGTGGTAGTTAGTCAATTTCACTATACTTGAGAAGATACAGATTATGAGGAATTTTACAATGCTTTAAAGCATTGGTGTTTTAGTTTTTGTCTTTATGATACAACTTGAAGCTGTACCTTTAACGTTACGGTACAATTTTAGGTAGTACCTATACCTTATGTTCAAGCTAAAATTGTAAATTTATGTTTTGGTACAACTTTACAACTTAAAATTGTACCACAACATAAAGATCAAATTCTCTTATAGTACAATTTCAATTTATACATTTAACGTTATGGTATAATTTCAAATTATACTTTAAAGCCCTTAAAAAGCAAAGTGCTCACATATTTATAAGAAAATTTTGGAGTATATATACGACCTTTTCAAACGGACTAACCTTTTATCTATTGTTTACTCATCTATTCAAATTATTGGAAGTTTGGAACCAACTATATGAAAAAACCAACTCACAGTTGATCCAACCTAGTCTATAACAATAATAACTCGTAACTATATACCTTTCCTAACCGGCTTTGTAATTCTTAACCTAAATCTCTTAACTAAGTACAACAGCTTATAGATGTGAAGTCGAAGGAGAAAGAGTGAGATAAATTCCCTAATTTCCACCCAAAAGAAAAGAAAAAAAAGAGGAGTTGTTTTGCATCATGGAGCAGCTTCCACACGTCGAGTAAAGGAGTAAGAAGTGCCGAAACAAGCGATCCAAGATTGAATATATTACCCTACATATGCACCGTCCAATTTTCCTGTATTTCCCGCGGCTTTCAGCAATTACTTGCGTAAAGGGCAATCGATGACAGTTATAAGAGTAGTTGAAAACCATAACCATAAACTAACTAACGATATTGTCGCCCGGTCCTCAATTCGTGGCTAAAACCTGCTCCAGATATGTAGAATCAGATCCATAAGCAATGACAAAGATAATTAATGAAGGGATGTTTTGTAACTTCTGACGATGGTTGCGTGCAGTTTGTGTTCGTGGAAAATTCGCACTTAGAATAAGTTGGAGATCACATTACTTGTGTCAAGAATCTAGTGGTAGAACTAGCTCGAAGCAATATCGATAAGAGAGTCTGTATGCGTAATAAACGAACTGGTCTCGATTTTGAGTTGAAGGAGAGGTTGATGTATGGTATTTAACTATTTACTTACACGCGCTCGCTCAAATGAAAGATCGATTCATCATGAGATTGAAGTTTGCACAAACCCACCGTATACCATGTGCTTCAAAAACAACAATTAATATATTGGGGATGGGGGGACTTAAACACATGACTTCAAGGACAAACCAAACTCTGATGTCATGTTATAAACTAACCAGTCTTAATACCAAGAGTTGATAGGAGAGGTTCGTGCATGGTACTTAACTATTTCCTTACATAATGATTGGAACAAATATTTACCCCATAATAGAGAGAAGAAAAAAAGTA